AACATACTGATGATTTTAAAAGTTAATTCTCTTAACCGTGGTCTTTCTCCTTAAGGGGCCTCTGTGACCGAATGTGTTAAGTATTTCATCTACTGTATCACTTTTCAGATGTCAACACTGATATTGTTAGTTCGAACCGCTCATGTGGCAGATGCTTTCGACTCCAATCTTAATTGACTAGGAAGGAGTTGTCAGTTTTCCTGTCCTGTACTGATGATTTTAAGAGTTATTGCCCTTAACCTAGGTGTAGTCCTTTGTTTATGTATGTATCATTGTCATTTTACTTATTTTTTTTTAGTCCTATTCTGACATTGGACTCGATCTTCTTTTAAACTGAGTTTTACTGTGCGTATTGCTGTGTGTTTGTTTATTCTGCAATGGCTAGAGGTATAGGGGAGGGTTGATATCTCACAAAACATTTTTAACCCCGCCGCATTTCGGCGCCTGTCCCAAGTCAGGAGCCTCTGGTCTTGGTTAGTCCTGTATTTTTTTTAATTCAGTTCATTTATATGTTTCGGAGTTTAGTTTGACGTCCATTTTTACTGAACTATTACACATTTAGTTAAGGAGCCAGCTGAAGTCCACCTCCGGGTGTGGGATTTTCTAGCTGTATTAAAGACTCGTTGGTGGCCTTCACTATCTCAATATCATTACTCTTTTTTTTTAGATAAGATCAATTTTCCCACATTTGAAGCACGATCTCCTTACCCTTACCCTTACAGCGCATGAGATCACCTCTGGATGGTAATGAGTTTTGTATTAATAGTCTTTTATTTTATACGTACTGTTTTGTAAAAAAAATGTTTGTAATTTGGGTCTTTTTTTTTTGTTTTATGTTGTTGTTTTTTTTGCAATGTTATTGTTAGTTTTTTTCGATTTATGAGCTTTACTTTTCCTTTGGTATCTTCCGCCTCTATTTTATAATGATAAGAAAAAAGGAGATTTGGTATAACTGCTAATGCAATAACTATCCATTACGGACAAGGTGAAGAAAAAAGTTAGCATGACTGTTTGAGCATATAACGTATATTCAGTTCATGACATCATTAAAAAAGGCTTTTCGTATTCTCAATTTAATAAACACCTCAAATCAATCAATCTGCAATTGTTTGTAGGTTTGATCGATTGCTGCTTGCTTAACTCCAATGTCCAGTGTTTTATGGATATTCGGGACCAGAACAAATAAATAAAAAATACAATCGATAGGCTTTCAAATTTGTTCGATCGCGATGAGCAGACAAGAGACCTTCAGAGATATTTGCAAGAGTTCTTTAACGTACAAACACCTTGGAATTCACCTTAAAAGAGGTATCGATTTAACGTTCCCGTTCCAACTGGACTCGTCTACGTATGTATTCATACATCCCGCACAGCCAAACGAAATCCTTACTTTGGCAAGAGGTTATCTACCGGACGGGAGAAGTTATACACTAACTCTTTTATTCTCATAAAGCCAATGCATTACATCAGTACAGAGATAACAACAATAACTATTTACAATATATACAAAACAAGGAGAGAGGTTACAGAAGTCACTAGCCAGGAGGACAAACAAAAGTATTAACATTTTTTATAAATAAACAAAGTTTCTTCAGGACTGGTTTTCGTGTACTGGACATAAGTTCCGAAGAATTTAAATGTATGATGTCGTTGTACAAAATAAGAGGGTAAATACTCTGTACGTTTTTGATCGAAAAAAAGTACATTCAAATATATATAGATATTCGTCACCAATTTGTTGATTGTTGATGGCAAACACGGTTTTCTCTCAATACGTTTTGCCACCTTCCTGTTTCAATCGGCAATTTGTTATTAGTCGTTCGAAATCGACAAAGAACAACGGCATGTTTAAAGTCCAAAATATTAAAATATTCCTCAAATTCCCAGTTTTTCTTAAAAATTTTGTAGTTTATAGCTTTTGACGAATTTTGAATAAGGGAATTCCAATTCTGAAGAAACTGGTCTAATAATCTTTGCTTTATAACAGTTTTTAACCAATCTTTACCTATAAAGTTTTGTGTTTCCCATATATATGAGAAACCACAATCTTGACATATTTTTTTGACAAATAGAATCCATTTAGTCTGCATGTTATAATGAGCATTCATATGGCGAGAAAGTTGATACAATATAAAGGAAAACTTTGCTTGTTTGCCGTAAATCCAGAAGTCCAGGGACAACCGTATTTTAACATCACAATCAACTGTTGTGACTCGTTGTTTGACATATGTTCTTTCTCCTCTAGTTTTTGAATTTTTGCCAGATATTCGGAATCCTCTAGTTTTATCCATATAGTGCCATTAAAAACTTTTGCCCACTAATCCCTACTTTTTTTTCATAATTTGATTACATATGGCTTAAAAAGCCAGCTTTGAAAATCTTATTAAATCCTGCTATTTTTCCATACTTTTTGACAGAAAAAAGGTTCAAATGTTAAATGTATGAAAAATCTAGAGAGAATCATTTCACGCCAAGTTTTCAATGGTTTATAGTTCGAACACAAGCACACGGATACTTCATATTTTTCTGCTTTTATGGTTCCTGCATCTATATACTATCACTTGATTTATAACAGTCTTTTCAAAAGCTTGGTATTTTGAAACAGAGTAGCAAACCTCCTTTTATAGATTGATGCTTTACGTCACGTGGCAATTCTTCCATGGGTATTTATGACAAGAATAAATTAACAATTAATACCGTCGGGAGTGTTCTGCGAATTAGGCCGGATTTGGCTGCGTATTTATACACCAAACAGAGCCAAAACAAAGCAAAACAGAACATTTGAAAGCAATTAATGGCAATACATATACTAGTAAATGAAAGGAGATTTGGGTTATAGTCAACGAGACATCTGCCTTACTACGTAAAATTTTAAAACATACATTTATTTAAGCGCTACATACTAAAAATGTTCACACGACCAACTCTTGCACAACCATATAAAACTATAAAAAGAAGCATTCAATTCATATAATTACATTTTAATGCTACAACCATGAAATTACTTGTTTACTTATATCATCAAGCTTTTCTTTGCATTGTTTTGATACGGTCACGGAAAGCACGTACAGTCATAGCTGTTGTATTGTATACGGAAATGAGACAATATCAGAAAAAGTCTAACTTCCTGGTTCCATCCTTCACCGGCAATTATTTTCTAATCCAATTATCTTTTTGGAAAATTTTAAGTTTCAGTATTAACTACAGTACATAATGCACCGACTATTGCCAATCACACACTCCTTCTTATATTCTTCAAAAAAAATATTATAATATAAATGCCCCCCCCCCCCCCCCCCCCCCCCCCCCCCCCCCCCCCAAAAAAAAATCATGTTGTCCACTGTTGTTTTTCTGACAATCAAATCATACAAAGAATGTCGTTATCAATAAAATTGAGAATGGAAATGGGGAATGTGTCAAAGAGACAACAACCCGACCATAGAACAGACATCAAGTAAATATGTTTCCAATTGTCACAAATTTGAAAGATTATATAAGAAAGTTGTCCCCTATGGATCTGTTTTTTTTTTTTATAACTAAAGTATATCTAAAAAATTTGCATGCTAAAACTTTGTTCCAAGGGATAATTTCCTTGCTGTTACCACTGTTTTTTATACCCCCGCTTTTAAAAAGGGGGAGTATACTGTTTTACCTCTGTCTGTCCTTCCGTCAGTCCGTCAGTTCGTCAGTCCATCCGTCCGTCCCATGAATATTTTCGTCGCATTTTTCTTAGGAACTAGTTGACATGGATTTCGGAAATTTGGTTTCAGGGTTTATATAAGTAAGTTACACCGTGTGATGCGTTATCAGATTCATCACTCAACAACTTCCTGTTTACCGAACACTTGTATTATTTTACACATGATAGCCAAGTTGAAAATTTTCGTCACATTTTCTCAGGAACTACTTGACAATGATTTCTGAAATTTGGTTTCAGGGTTTATTAAGTCAGCTATACCGTGTGATGCGTTTTCAGATTCATCACTCAACAACTTCCTGTTTACCGAAATATTTCGGCGGGGGTATCATCAGTGAGCAGTAGCTCATAGTTTTACCTGATTTTACCTGTGGAAACGTTTGAAAGACCAAGAGTTAATTTCCTGTAATGCAATGGGAAAGAGCATCATTTTCTGAATGCATGACCACACGTGTATAGTTTGAATGGCGGCCAGTTTGAAAAATCCGAGCTCATCCAAGATAAGAATTTATAGAATAATACTTTTTTTGTTCTCTCCTGGTACAGCCTTTTTGTATACCTTTTGAGAATATTTTAATGTCAGCACTATAACGTTAAATGTGTTTTTATAGTATCTGATTAAATTGATATGTAGATGGAAGTACATTTCCATACAATTCAAATAAAAGGACAAAACATACTGTGTAATTCCTTTCTGTTATACGTTCTGTCATGTTACCTGATACAAAGTATCTGCATAGCCATAATCAGTAACAGGAAGGATGTTAAAGACAATTTTACTGATGAAACACAAAGTTAACCTACTATATGCCAAACAGTTCATTTAATATAAGTTATCACCATCATATTAAACAAATCTCAACATAATATACTGTCTTTTGAATGAAAAATCAGGTTTTTGACTTTTGATAACAGCAGAGAACATTGTGCAATTCTAGTATAGTAGATGGTAACTGAAATGAATTTATTTTTGAATTTTTCATTACAGGCAGATTTTTCATCTTGCAAATGAAATCTTCAAAAGAAAAATGACATTGTTTGCTGTTTTCTTCCAATTGTGACCAATTTGTAATGATGTATTTTTCTTAAACTTTGAAAACAAAGGAACAAACTATGAAAACAAAGGAATTGTTTTGAAATAAAGTTCCTTCCTGTTACCAACTCTGTCCTGTTACTCAAGATTCTTTCATGTTACGACAAATTGGATTATATTTTAGTATATTTCTTAACCTTATGTATTGTAAATGTTAAAATAAATAATTGACATTTGATAAAATATTGCAGGATGTACTAGTAAACCACAAATAGTAACTTTAATTTATTCCTTATTCCCATTAGGAACTTTTTTAAAATGATTCACTTTGGTAACAGGACAAAACTGGAATTTTTGGTACCCTTTTTTACATTGCCATAGTTACCACATTTAACATTTTTTTGTGAATTACAGACCACAGTTCCTGAATCCTCAATGTTTGTTCTTTGTTTCATGCTATTAAATTACAGATTCCAAAGACATTTTTTTTCCCATTGCCAAAAATTAGACTTTTTCTGATATTGTGTCAAATACAAAATGAATATGCAATGCCTAGGGATTGTTGACTTCAACTTGTCAGCCAATCAAAATTACCGGTTCAATTGAATGTTTTTATGCAATGTAATTATAGTGTCATAAATATTAAAAAAAAACAAAGCGAGAAGTTAAGTCACGTACAAAAACTACAAAACCAACTGGTTGATAAAAAAAATATATTCCAAGACTATTCTTCCAATGTTCAAGAGTTCACATATTTGGTATCAAACACCACAAACGAAAATAGAATTTTCGAAAAGCACAAAGAGGTGCATGAAGTTTGCATCGGTGTCATGAACTTTTGTAATTTTGAATAATGACTAATTTACCAATAAGATTCAGGTATAAATAATTTTATATCTTTTACTCCAAATAATAATTGTTCTTGCTCCTGGTTTTGTTTTGCTACTTCACTTCCGGAATATACCCATGATGAGATCGTTTTCAAGTGTGCCTGTAACAGAAAGGAAATATATAATTATACTCCGTCCTTAGTAATATACAAATGTATAGTCATAAGCAGCAAACTATTGGACAGTACAAAGATCACCAACAAATAACTACTCTTGAGAAAATAGAGTTCTCTAATTATAAAAAAGGAGATGTGGTATGATTGCCAATGACCCAACTCTTCACAAGAGACCAAATGATACAGAAATTAACAACTATAGGTCAGCGTACGACCTTCAACAATAAGCAAAGCCCATACCGCAAAGTCAGCTATAAAAGGCCCCGAAATGACAAATGTAAAATCTGTTTGTCCCTGGGAGTCCTTGAATAAAACATGCTGGTCCTTACTACTATATCAATTGCAAAAAACGAAAGTTGTGTCGGTCCTTTGCACATGTTGGTGAAGAGGACATTCGAACCAACACTTTTCGAGAACTCCAACGTGCAAAAAAAACAAACTATGAGTTTTGATATATCTGTAAATCTGTAACTATGATACAATATATAAGCACATACATTTTATTCTGTAAACCCCATCCAGACCCTCATAAAAGCACATAAATATTATCACTTACCTTCGACAAGTCCACCGTCTTTTGCTGAACATGATGGCCCAAAGCAATTCTCGTTATATGCGGTCTGTTCAACTACAATGAATACAGATGAATTTCCATTTATTTAAATACAAAATAATGTAAGTAAAAAAGTTAAACTATGTTTTATGACAGAACTTGTTTGTTGTCTCTCTCCTTTTGAGGGGGATAAGAACAGCGAGACCCTTTTTCCACCGAACTATTTGAAATATAATCTCCTCAACTCCCATCTGTTCAAGTTTTAAGATATACCCCCTGGCTTTTTTTATTTTCCCATTGTTTCGTCACCGTTTGGCTTCAGTACTCCTACAGGACAGGGTTATGTTTACTTTAACATACCTTTCTTTTGACTTGGAAAACCTGGATCTGAAAATATAAGAATAAGAAATCACGTTCATACATTTGGTTGTAGACTGCTTCGCTCATAACAAATATTGATGACATTTTCTTTGTTAACTTGTATTCCATCTAAATTCAGTAATGAAGTTATAATAACATATCTTACTAAGATGTCATAGACTCCCCCGATACAAAATTGTTAATGGTAATTTTGTTTTAATTGAATATGAAGAAAGTATTCCAACGACTAAAAAAAAAAAACAAACAGAAGCTCACATTTTCAAAGTCGTCCCAATTTAAAAAGTTAAAGACATTTAAAACTTGTTTTGTTTCCTACTCAATAGTAAGTAAAGAAGTTTTTACTTCTTACTTGAAGGTCCATGTGGACCCATTCCTCCCATTCCGGGAGCACCACCCGCACCTGCACCTGGTCCTCCATTGCCAAACGGACTTTTCATTCCGGAGCCCGATCCTGATCCTCCGGATGATGAACCAAAAGGACTCTTCATTCCTCCTCCCGAACCAGATCCTCCTCCCATTGGATTAAACGGACCACTGCCACTTCCGCTACCACTAGAACCACCACTGCCACCAGAACCTCCGCTGCCACCAGACATTGTTTGCATTACTTAAGGGAAATAATTACAATTTATTGAATTCATAACTATGATGTATATTTATATATAAGATAATTTGATTTTTAGGTAATTTGTTCACAAAATTATCACCGTTATTTATCGAAATCCCAACATACCAAATGTGCACTGTTCTACGCACTTAAAAAAAATTAACATTATCCATAAAATCTACATACAATGACAAATACTGGGCAGCTGGTGATATGAAAGTGCCAAAAACAAATATAAAACTTATCCCAAATGATATTATATTTGACTGATTTTGAGATTTTCCTTACAATTTTATGAACGTATATAGAAAGTTTTACTTACAATTATTACCATCATTTGTACACATTACCATGGGTGGGTTACATTTCCCTTTCGACTCATTCCCTCCGCTGGTACTCATTCCTTTATCTGGGGCTGAAAGTATACGAAAGAATATCATAACTAAAAAGTAATTGAAAACAAAGTACCCGAGTCAATGTTTAACAGCGATATCTTAAAGAACATCTTGTTAAACAGTAAATATTGGATAATTACAAGGGCTCTACAATTTCCTTGGTGCCCAGAGCCCACTCTTTTATCTTGGGCTAAAAGGATACGAAATATAACTTAACTGTAATTGAGCGAAGTTCCCGAGTCAATGTTTAACAGTGATATTTCATATATTGGCTAATGACAAGGGCTCTATAATTTCCTTGGTCCCAAGAGCCCTGACTAAACCTCCTGAATTCAAAGCCTTATCAGTGGAGCCCGTAGCCTTATATTGGAAGTTTGGAGCTCTATTAGGGGAGCCTGAATCCCCAAAACGTACCCAAATGAACACGGAGCCAATGCAGTGGAGCCTGGAGCACAACGATAAATCTAGGATGGAGCCCAGACCTCAGAAAGCAAAGCCCGTGTTATCTCCAAAATTCAAAACAATACAAACATCATACATTTTTTTTTCATAGTAGAAACAATTTACGAATAGTACAACGTTGTAATTCTTAATCATAAGATGAACTTTCAATGGCGTTTTTTTCTGCTTGTTTTAGAGAAAGTGATTATAACCTCCAGATTAGGTTATAAATACACATTTTGTAAGATCATCTGTGTAATAACCAGATAAGATGTAAATGCTGCACCTAAGTTACAAATATAAACAGAGAGATGAGGATTTTCTTTATTCTTTGAAGAAGGCCTTCGCCTATATATCTAAATTGAGACTCTTTTGAAAACTCAAGGTCTACTGAAATCGATAGAACATTCATGTTAATAATTGTACCCTTTTAACAAGATAGTAAACAAACATATCACACACAACAAGAATTTTGCATTATTCCTCTATATTTTAGAGCAATGTTATTACTAGTTTAAAGTCGATCGTGCATTTACATAGATTTGTCCTTGAAAGTTTGAAGGATTTTCTTATTTTATTCTGCAATTAATTTTAGAATTAGAAACATTTGGTTCTGCTTAAACAAATAACGGATGTTGCTTTGATAAGGGTGTAAACGAAATTAAACGAAGAAAGCATAATGCAACAAAATTAAAAGATTCTTCAAAAGGCAAAAAGGGAAGTCTTTAAAGTTGTAAACGCATTTTTACATGTAAAATCCAATGATAAGCCTTGTTTTAGAGAGAACTCACACTTAAGAACATTGTTGCCACCATTTGTATTGCCAAACATTTTCATCATGGATCCGCTGCCACCGTTGTTTGTTTTGCCACCGCTGCCACCAGATTTTTCCTCTTCACATTTGCAACTCCTACAGCCATCGGATGTTTCTTCCCCAACAGTAAATCCTAACTTTTTTTTGGAACATTTTATTATACATTCGTATAACTTTAAACATGTTTTCTCGTTATTTTGTTGTTTTTGTGGTTGTTTTTGTTCTGAAATATAAAAACAATATGCTGCTTTATGCATTCAACTTAAAAAGAAATTCTAAGATTACCTTATTCTCTGTACTTTTTTGTCTTATTTCGGTTTATTTGAAAGATATAAGTTGTCTTTGGGAATGTTCACGTATTTTTTTCTTGCAAAGGGCAAAGTAACTATTAGGCAATAACTCTTCAAGTTATACTTCGTTTAAAAATGTCAATGAAAGTTTATCATTCCACTACAGATTAGTGTAGGCGCTTGTTTTGTCTTCACTCATTTTCAAAGTATAACTGACCGAGTTTCTATAGTTTGTTATCTTGATAAGATGGTTTAAAGATCCATTTTAAGCATAAAACTTAGCTATGCTGAACTTTTATCGAATGATGATATTCTACTGGTATTAAGCGCAAAATCTATTACTTCTGTACATTTTTAAATGCTTGATTTGACATTTCCTTTTTTATTTACCATGCAGATATGTTAAATACTTCGAAGATTACACGATAAAAAAAAAATAAGTATTCATTGGAAATATGTAGTTATGGCATAAATTCAACCACAATATTTACCACTTCCTGCTAACCTCGTTTTAAGCATGTACACGACTGGCAGCCGTCAGAACCAGTTTCTCCCAGATGATAACCTCCCTTACAAGACATCATACACAACGTTGTACCAATGCATTCATTATGTTTTGGTTTAGGTTTTTCTTGAGATTCTTTCTGCCTGACTGCGATCCAAAATCTGCTGGCTAAATGTAAGCATAGATTGAAAATAAATTACGAAAAATGGAATAAATGACTTAGGTAATTAAATACTAAATGTAAGTTTAATAAAATAACGATGGGTCAATTATAAAAACTAAATTGGAGATTAATGACCAACAACACCAGGCGCGAATCAAGTATTTTTGAAAAGAGTGGGCTTCCGACCCTCGGCACACCGTGAAACGTTCATGTAATGACATTTTTTTTCAATCGAAAAAGAGGGGTTCCAACCTATTTTCTATTTAAGAATACCATAACACCAGGTACATGGAGATTTATATGTAAAGTATACCTGAGTAGCAAGGACACGTTAGACATCCTCCTTCGTCAACGACAGTGCAGGGACAATCTTCAAAGTCCATCTTATCTACAGAAATACAGTATTTAGGAATTCCTGGACTTTTTAGCGGTACATTCATAGAATGTCCACGTCCGTATGATGATGTCTGAAAGAAGAAATAACCAGTCTTAGTTTTAAGGTATTATACCGACTATGTTACAAGGTGAATCATAAAATTGAAATCCCGAGGCCAAGTGACGAACGAGTCAAAAGATAAAAGCCACAAGACAGAAGTACGGACAGGGTTTACAAAACCCTCGAGCGTTAACTGATACAATTATAAATGCATAGATGTTAAGCAACAAATATCTAAATTTAAAAAGAATTATAAAACCCTTCTTGTAAGCATTTTCAGTTTAAATTATTTCTTATAATATTCTTCACGGTTTTAGAACGAGTAACAGGGAGTACAATCTAATTATCTTAATCTCTCTTTAATTAAACAACGAGCTTTCAATGGCATATTCAAACTGTTTATATATTCAATAGTGTTGAAAAAAATACTTCAGTAGAAAAAAAAGTTCACGAAATTATTCATTCAGGTGGTTATGTCTTAGTGATTATTTCTTTTATTGAACTTGTTGTGTTCTTTAATTGCTGTCTCAATAGAATATACCAAGATCTCTTTTCGTTGATTTTTACTGTAAAAGAGAATCAAAGAAAAATAAAAAATTCAAACGGTTGAAAAAATTAATTTTAATATTTTTATTTATGAATACTCACAAGATGAGAAAAGGGATTCTGAGCAGTCATTGGTCCGTGTGGAATATTGAATGGCATATGACCTGCCATGTGACCAGCCATGTTACCCACCATCGGTAAACCCGGTAACGCGGTCAATTGTTGAGTTTGTGTATCTTTTTCGTGAATTATGATAACTTTTGTATTTTCTGTATTTCCACCACTATTTGAACCAGAATTGTCTGTATAACCCCCTCCGAAACTATTTGAATTATCTCCGTATTTTGAATTCCACTTGGAACTTGAACCACTCCCACTTCCGCCATATTTGTCACTTGAACTACTACCACTTCCGCCAAATCTATCTCTTGAACTACTTCCGCTTCCACTTGACGAAGCTGACGAAACTGAAAATATACACATGCATTGTGGTGTTCAAAAAGTTAAAAAAAGTAAAATAAAAAAAACCAACATATTATCACGTTTGATATACAAAATTAAAACTAAGCGGATTGATATTTCTATGAAATTACTTTACTCTTAACTACATAACGCTGATAAAGGAACGATTTCTGATTATAAATATAAAGTATAAGATTTAAAGGTTGATATTGTAACCGAAAGCCGTGACAATTAATTTGTTTTTTTCCTATTTGTCTCTCTTAAATCTTTACATTACCCGAGTTGTTAGGAATGTTTTGATGTTGTTATATAAAAAAAAGCCTTACATATTGCAGCGTGATTTTAATGTGCTCATGGCTGTTGTATAGTTATCACAGTAACATGTCCTCAACTTAATCATCAACGATGAAGACAAGTATTGTGTGATGCTGTTATATTTTTGTGCATCTCATTTTCATACTCCGCAAAATAACTTGATTTATTTTTTTATGATTGCCATGGAAACTAACAAACATGATTAGGAACAAACATGACTAAGAAGCATATAGTATGACCTGTTGCTGGTATATATTTTCTTTCCTCGTTATCATTAGAATTGTGTGTTGCACTGCTTCTTAATTTACTTACTTACCCTGGCATCTGCAATATTTACATTCACCTTTATATTCAATACACAGAGGATGGCAATCTGGGTCGGAAAACGGACAGGAAGACGTTACTTGTCCTGAAATAACACATCAATTAAATTTAAGCATTTAAGCACCACTAATGTAACATTAGTAACATCAGACATTTTGATGTTGACGTCGTTGCCGAAATACACTTTAAACTTATAAGTTGTTGAGAAAAATATCAATGGACAAAATGCGATATTGACTAATGCCATTTCAGAAAACGTTGCACACAAGCGAGTTTTATCGTGCGCGATACACATGCCGTCGCAATTCATTGATTTTGCAATAATTTAATTTTGGATGTAACACGTCTTCCGATTGGCTGAACATTTTTTGTCTTTCAGCTCATAGACATAATTTTATCATGTGATCGTGACGTCATCAACTTGTTTTTCATGATTTACGCCTTAAAAACGAAATTTAGAATTAGATTAAAGAAATGCTACGCAGGTTATTCAGTGTGCACCACATTTTTTGTGTTATTTCTTCATAGACAGAAAAAATATTACAGTCATTCCTTAAATATCTTTAATTAACTTTTCGTAACGCGTCTCTATAGATCATAACTTTTTTGAAAGTTTTATCAATGCATGGGAATTCGGCAATGTTTTGTAGCAACAACTTTTAGCACAAATTTATATGAATCACATTTGCCCGCTCGAATCGTTCGTCAAGAGTAAGGAAAAGTATTATTTTGAGTTGTTCTGTGTAATATTAAACCAAATGATCAAGTTTCAATAGTATATTTATTTACTGCTTGCATTCAATAAAGATTTAAAAAAAAACTAATTCGTGCAGTGGTATGAATAAGGAAAACATTGATAAACACGTGGTATATGTAGCTAACTTCACGACCGTTGGTGTACAAGTATCGACTAATTCAATTCGTTAATTTGTCTTATATTCTGATTATAATTGTAATTTTGCTAAATTTTTCAAAAAAGCTTTACGAAATACTAATATCAGAAAGGAAACGCAGGTGGATTACTTTTAATTTTCAGTAACTCTTTTAACGTCATCAATACTTATGTGTTAATCAGCCGTGCGTGATAAGTTGTACAGCTGCAATTTATCTTTTTATCAATATTGTATCGACCCAAAACAGTCTAAAGCTAAATTTAACAAGACTGTCTTTGTTGCATTTAGTAAGTTGAACATTCATAGTGATGTCATATTCAAAAACAGACTGACCAAATAGTCTACAATCTTGCGATGTTTTTAAACAAGGGACGTTACCTGCTTGTCGGTTTACAATTTAAAAACCAAAATACGCTTATTACAAAAATTATTTCAAACATGATCGTAACTTGTTTATATTAGTACTTTTTAATTTTTGTTCAAAATAGGAATAAAATTAGGCTTCGGAAAAGAAAACAATACAATTAAATTTGATTACGTATGAAGAAAAATACGAATCGCAAACATTTTTTTAAGAATAAGAATACAATTATCAACATTAAAGCAAAGCATTTGTATCACAGTACATGTAATAAAAATTCTTACCACATAAAAAACCAAAAATGAATAAAATTGAAATCAAAATGTTTTCCATGTTGAAATTTTGTGCCGCTGTCTTTTGTTGTTGTAAATATAACTTATAAATAAACACCTGTCGCGTATTACCTATCTTGTCTTAATACTACCCACACCTGCTAATGTTGACTTCCTTATTTCGATACCATTCAAATATTACGCGTAATTTAAGATAATTAGATAATATAAATTCATCATTCAGAGTGTTTACGTGAGGACGTGCATTCAAATTTTTATATACTAAATATACTCAGTATACTGTGGCCAAATAAGAGGGTATGAATTGGGTCTTCATTTCATACTTTTTAGGATTTTTTTTTATATTTTTATTGCCGTTAAACTCGATTCTTTATATTGAAGCACCCATTTATTCTCTATTCTTTATTTTTTTGACTTGTTGTTCTCTATTCTTTATTTTATTGACTTGTTGTTCTCTATTCTTTATTCTATTGACTTATTCTCTATTCTTTTTTTTATTGACTTGTTGTTCTCTATTCTTTATTTTGTTGACTTGTTGTTCTCTATTCTTTATTTTATTGACTTGTTGTTCTCTATTCTTTATTTTGTTGACTTGTTGTTCTCTATTCATTTTTTATTGACTTTTTGTTCTCTATTTTTTATTTTATTGACTTGTTGTTCTCTATTCATTTTTTATTGACTTGTTGTTCTCTATTCTTGATTCCCCCCTTTATTCCCTACTTTTGGTAATTGTTTTCTATTCTGTAAACCCCAACCAGAACCTCATAGAAGCCTCCATGAAATAACAATTACTCAGAAGAAGCCAAATTTGATTTATACATGTAGTACACTATTGAAATGCTATATTCTGAATAAGGATCTTTAAGTTTAACAAAGGGTGCAATCAAAAACCTAAAATTGAAGAAAGACAAGCGAAAACACCATGGCCAACAGAAAAAAAATTCGAGCAGAAAAACAATCGCCCACAAAACACAAAATTATAACGTTACAATAATATTCATAAATTTGCTGATGAAAGATATTAACAAATGAAAACGGCTGTAATGACAAATATTGACCCTCGAACTACAGGACCAAATAATCGGTTAGAAACTTTTTATTAAAATAAAGAGTCACAGGTTTTAATTAAGAATTGGATGCTTTAAAACACAAATTTATATGGTTGTCAAAGCGTTGACAATGCGCAAATCAAAACCATTCAATTTTTATAAGTACATTTTTATGCTACAACTATGCAATTACGAGTTAAATCGAGCTTTTCGTTTGGCTTTTCCTTATGCATTGTTGGGACGTTGTGATGGGAAACGTTTGCAGTCATGAAGGTTGAAATATATAGGGAATTACAATTTGATATTGGAATGCCTCATGATTGCTTTCTGCCAATCAAATGTGCGGATTATTACGAAACATACATGTATGTAATTATAGCTCAGTGATGTGTTTTATCATATTGTCATTATCTTTTTTTTGTTGATTTCATATACAAATACAAATACAAATACACATTGTATCTAATTTCCAAAATCTTGAACGAACTAAACTTCAAAATTTCTAAAGTTCCGTTACACCAGCAATCGTTGAATCAATGCATTCTTAACATTTGAAAGTCACCATGCCCTCAGCAGCCGACCAATCCTGGCATAAGTACCCCAAATAGTTAAAAGGTCAACGTACTCTCAAAACTCAAAAACTGACCAAACAATGATAAGCAAAGGTCAACGTTCGCTCCCAGACCTTGAGAATGACATTGATTACACAGGGAAGCTCTAAGTAGGACAAGCATATAAAATGTACTTTAACACAAATCTTGACCTTTGATGTCTTCTATCAATTTTTGTCGTAGGGTTGTTGTCTCATTACCATAACCCACATCTTCTAAATATTCATATAAAACTAATGATTCCATGTTTACACGGACACATTTCAGTATTATTTTCGCATTTATCATGATATATTTTTCTATTTCATTATTATATTTTAAATAATTTCCATTAGGGCCGGTTTTTACCTATGTTTTGCAATGTCGACGTTTATACTTCATGTATTTAAAGATGACATATTATATTTAGTCATTATAGGTATTACCGAACATCTGTCTTTGAATGCAAGTTTATATCGGGACATGTCGGCCCTTATCTATAACACTAAAGGTTATCAGAAAAATTGCAGTTCGAAAACCACGCATATATATACCATTATCTAGTTCATTCATAAAAGTCATAATTTTATCGTAAACTTTCGGAAAAGTCATTTTCAGACTTTTCATTTTTTTATGTTTCGATTTTCATTTGGGATTTAAAATACTTGAGATGTTTTTCGCCATTTTTGTGTTGAACTTTGTAATTTTCGTTCACGGTAAGTTTTTTTTATACTTGTGTATAAATTATACGAAAAATGCAAAAACAATATTTTTCCAAAAAAATGTAAGCAATTAAGTTTACCCCAATAAAACCAGTAGGTTTAACGTCTTCACTAGAGCCAGTGGTCGATAGAGGGCGCATAATTAATTGACGTAATGAAGCAACACATCTTCTCTTCCTGAAAAAATTACAATTTTGTGACTTTTAATCGCGTCTTTACCATTGAACTTGAAAAAAGGATACCACAGCTACAGTATAGCCTGTTTCATATCTTGACTGCAATCTAGACATTGACAGTAAGGGTCGGTTGAGAAGGAATCTTTACGACAAAATATTTGATTTTAATTTCTACTGTAGACTTCCCATTTCAATGTACCAACATTCCAGCAGCACCTATATTTAGAAAAGTTCTTCCAGTTGAGCGATATCTAGTTGCCTTCATGATTTTCATATAAGGCTGTTGCTTATAATGAACCTACTTTTTTGAACCAAGGGTTCTTAATTGTAGAGTTGAGTCCATCTCTCTAAGTTTTTAAGGATGGCATCATGGTTGATTGATCTTTATGCAATATTTGTGTCAAAAATTACCATTAATATGCTGCCACAACCCGGAACTCTTTTCATCGTTTATGGCATTACATCTGAATTTTACTAATCATGAGAAAAATGGCCGGTGCCGCTTGTATAGCAGGAAGTTTACCTTTGTGAGCACAGCAGTGTCCTTTTGTTTTTTGTAGGGTTCATGTTGCTCAGTTTTGGGTTTCTTTATAATCTTTTCTATACTTGTTTTTCCGCTTCGGTTCTCTTTGTTACCATGGCGTTGTCTGTATTTCTTTAGCTTATTGTTTTTATTGACTCTTTGTATGATGTACTTGTTAGGGGTCCTTCATTTTTTTATTCATCAATTTTTACACCACTTATCTGTTTTCTTTATTTATTTTCCCGATTATTTTTTATTTTTTAACATCACATTATTCTATATATTGTTTGGCCTATTTTTTCTATTTTTAAAATTTTTTGCCATTTATTCTGCACGTTTTGTCCATTATTCTCTATTCGGTAAATTCCATCCAGACCCTCTTTGTATCATATCCTCATGTTTCACATTTTCGAAGCAAATCGAAGTTTGGTGGAGAATTGATGTGCCCGTTTTTAAGGTTTTGATTTTTGTTACCGAGCACCAACAGAAAAACGGGAAGCAATATTCGTCCGATTTTCTGTGGATCGACTGAAAATATTTTATTCTGTGTAGTATTGTTGATAAATTGCTTTAATTTTTAAAATTTTGTACAGTGAGATTTTTCCACATTCGACTCGTAACTTTTATTTCCCCCTGTGGGTTAAAAAATACCAAGGTAAATTATCCAACCCTTATGATTGAACCAATGACAAATGACAATAACACTTTATCGATGTGGTGCACAAGAAGCGTAATCAGGCACGCCAAGACACAAAAGCTTGAAAACCAAGGGTGTATAAATAAGTGAATAATTGAGTAGCTATGTGACCAAAAGGCAAATATCCGCCTAGGAATAGCTTTGCCTTTGTATGTTGGAATATTAACTCCGTAAAATCTCTAGATTTATCAAGCTAGGATTTTTACGAAACGTAGCATATGAATAAAAAAAGATTATGAACATGCAGTCAGCACAAAAATTCAAAAGGCGTTTAGCGTCTATACAATATGTTAAATTCGAAATAGTTCCAGACCTAAAACGCAATGAATGAATTATCCATTAGTACCGAACTGCTTTTTATTAAAAACAATCTTCAGATACATTCTATTTCATTAGTACCAATTTTCGTGGATTGAAGAAAAATGTTTTTTCGTGTTTTTTTTATTTCGTGGTCTTTACCAAAGTCTGCATACACATCTATAGTAAATATGTACTATGACAAACATTTAGATTCGTGGTTACCTTTACCCACGTAATCAACGATTTGGTATCAAACGAATAATAATGAATCGGTATATGAGAAAAAACAGATACATAAATATACGGTAACCTATATAACCTCTGGTCATTTGGTCTCTGTTGGAGAGAATCAGATGTCTCATTGACAATTATACCACATCTTCCTATGTTAATATATAGGTAAAAAACTAAATTTTGAATTTATAGGAAATCCCGTATTGCGATCCGGATGTGCCCCTTATCCTAAAGACTGTAAAATGGAATGTGTATCTATTGCTGCTGATGGATGTATTGTTTGTCAATGTCCTTCAAGTAATTCCGGATCCGGAAGTGGAAGTGTTTCAGGTAATTATTGAAATATGTTTTCTATTTTAATACTGTTTTCAAGAAGTATTACATAGATATAAGAAGATGTGGTATGGGTGCCAATGAGACAACTCTTCATCCAAGTCACAATTTGTAAAAGTAAACTATTATAGGTCAAAGTACGGTCTTCAACACGGAGCCCTGGCTCACACCGAACAGCAAGCTATAAAGGGCCCCAAAAAATGACTAGTGTAAAACAATTCAAACGGGAAAACCAACGTTCTAATCTTTATAAAACGAGAAACGAGAAACACTTATGAACAACATCAACAAATGGCAACCACTGAACATCAGGTTCCTGACTTAGGACAGGTGCAAACAAATGCAGCGGGTTTAAACGTTTTAATAGGTACCAACCTTCACCCTTACCTGAAACAATAGTGTAACGTCACAACATAGAAAGACACACTATACAATATATCAATTGAAATGGCTTAACTCAATCAAAAGACATATTAACGCAAACAAATGAATATACACTGAACGAATAAATTTGATCTATAACACAATGTAAATACAAAATCCATTGTTATTACATATTTGAATTAAACAACTGAATATGCGAATATAATAAATACTACATCGATCTTTTAAACCAAATGTTAAAGGGGTACTAGCTGTCAAATTCATGTTCACCGATTTGATTCACATTTTTATATTTTACTTACAACATACTAAAATGTATATCCAAATAAAAAAAGTCTATAAACAATTTACGATGCATAAACTCGAAATTATGTATCAGCATTTCGTGTGATTTTTAGTCTAGACGCCATCTAATTAACCATCGAGGTGACCTTTCGAAGAATGCCGACGATATATTTTATAACCCGTTGTAAACATAAACATTAGATATAGATAGATAGCGAACTCGTGCAATTGGATTTTTCTAAGTCTGTTTGATTTCATATTATAGGTTAAAATAATATGTTAATAATCGTTTTTACCTGTATAAGAATAAGTTTTTGTAGATCGAATCAGTCAATCAAATGGTTTACTCTTGTTTGACTTTCAATGTTGACATTCTTTTCCTTTTACTAGCTGATCACGCCTAGTTCATGTGTAACCCATCTCAATTTCAATTGAAGTTCACATGAATACAGATTTAATGAGGTCGAATTATTCACTTGCAATATTTCTTTGCTTATTTCGTCAAAACTGAATCAAACTGGTTGCTAAAAGCGAATTTATACTTCATTTTTTCACTTCCATTAATGATTGAACAAAAAAAAAAATCATATTTTATATTTTCTATATTTCGTAGCTAATCACCCTTTAATAGACTACTATTAAGGGGTGTTTTACGACCTTGACTACCCATGATGGTGTCGCACGGTCTGCTGTTACTAAGCACCAGCCATTCAAGCTTCACGTACCCGTAGATAAAGCCCCAAACAATATAACGTCACAGTACCCAATTTGCACCTATATTCAACAAAAATCGCTGCGGAAATCTTTAAAGTTTTCTTTGAGACTAAACAATTTGTATTTTTATGATTTGACATTATACATGTCTTTCAACAAAAGTGATATATTTAAATATACACAAAACGTTCTCAGTATATATCAACAGATGAAGCATTCACAGGAAAAAATTAATCTACGAAAACGTCGCCATGCGACGTTCACAAAAAGTCATCTTTTAAAAATGAGCAAATTAAATATGATACAAGCATCCATTTCCTAAAAAAAATAATAGTAAGCATGGACTAATGTAAAATTGTTCTAAATATTTGAAGATATAAAACAAAACATCTGTTATTCGATTTTTAAGGATGTGAATCTAACCATGGCTGCAATTTGGGTACTTCTCATTACTGTATACAGAATCATGGATCGTTTGGAGGTCGATTCAAACACATTTTTCTATGATTCAATATAGATTCAAAATTAAATTGGTCGAACCATATAGTAAATAATGACACATCTACAAAATAAACACAGAATGGAAACTTTTGTCTATATCATAAATAAACGTAGGTGAAAAAACTGTCAAAATAGGTGCAATTTGGGTACCGTCACGTAAAGTGTGTAAATCACATTACATAACCTGATTGATAGCGGAATTGGGTATAGACAATTCAATTGGAACCCCCCGTCATTTACCAAGGAGAAAAAAATCCTGATCATACTTTGATCCAAATTCTGTGGGGACCATCTGATATGTCCATGCCCTTTTGGAAATACAATGTATTACATTAGAAATAAATGCAGAATGTTGCCATGGATAGACAATTTTTTTCCCTCACCATCTCAACTACCGGTATTAAAAAATTAATCTATGGAAGATACTGATTGTATACATATGCACATGTATGACACGAATAGTGAGATTAATGTATTTGAAAGCAAGGAAAAGAGGATAGATAAAGATTTTGTGGATCAATTTGAAATTTATTTCCTAACTGTAAAGTACATGATTTTTTGACAGCAGGAGCCCAGACTTCGGTATTAACTGGTAGCCACCAAACAGGCACTGGATGTCCTGCCTATCCAAAGGACTGTAGTAATGCCGCCATTGATTCAAACACGGGATGTGTTATATGTTTGGGTAATATATTAGATATATACAGTCGGTTGTCAGTTGCTTATTTTGTATACCATTGGACGTATCAGAATTAAAAGGATCGAGTACAATTTCATTGTTTGTACACCGTACATAAGAAAAAAGCAATGGTCGGATATCTGTTGTTTAAGAAATTTTTAACCAATCAAACGCTTTAGTTTGTAATTTTGAAAAATATCATACAGAATGTATTACATTGTATAAAGATGAATTTACAACTTGTCTGACTCAACGCTGCATTGATATAAAACGTGTTGACATATGTTTGCTTGAATATTTTAATAGAAGAAAAAGTACATAACATCAAGTTAGAAAATAACAATGCATATGAATAGTTAAAAATGCAGACATATTTCAGAGTGTTTTATCACAATTCATTCTAAGACATGAAGATTTAAGTTCATAACTATCCGTATAAACGCTGAAATAATAAGTGCAGGTTCCTTTTCTTAATTTACGGTAAACATCAAAACATTCAAAGAAATTTATGTCTTATGATAGGTTCCGGTCCAGGACAGAGTAACACAGGGACAGGAAGTGGGATGAATGGTGGTGGTATATCAACGGGAAGTGGAGGCCAATCCCAAACAGGTAAATAAAATACTGACAAAACATTACAAAAAATAAATTATGCAACTACTCAAAATTGATTTACTTAAAGTTGTAACGCTAACGTTCGTGTTTTACCTTTTTTTTCGCGCGTGAATATACACGTCTGATATATTTTCATTGCGCATGACACGTGTTTCTTAATAAACCTGTTTCCGGTATGTTTGAGACCAAACGTTAGAAAGACCAAATACACAACAATACCAAGGACTACCTTTGCTCGAGGGAATTAAAGGTTAAACATTTGTGCAATTACATACGAACGGACAATATCTTTGTTATGATTCCAAACATTAAAAAATCATTTTTAAAGTAAACATTTTAACTTCCTTACTTCATACAAAACTCAGATGAAAATGACAAATCCTCCAATTGTTTGACTATTTTGTTATCTGAAGGTGGCTGGGGTGTCTTCCTCCATCTTGGATTTGAATAGCAGATAATAATCGGTTTAGATCTTTAATGAAATGTGCAAATTTCGAGAGTAGTATGTAATTCATGTGTAAGACTTTTCGTGTTAATATAGAAAGTTAAGTGTTTTATCATATTTTATGGCTGTATTTTACAGAAAACAGAATACTTTTGTGTGATTCATTTTTTTTTCAACTGTGCCACATAAGGGGAGATAACTCAGATAAAGTAACTTTTATAATAGAATGTGTTATGAATTTACCTATTCTATGATTAAACAAGAAAACGAGTTCGGTGACCCCATTTTTTCTTTTTCTTATCTGAAAGCATACTATTAGAGCTATCTTCTCATATTTTATCTTAAAATTCTATGGTTTAGTTTTCTTTTTATCACAAAAAATTGGGTTTTCCATACATTATCTATACAAAATCTGATAATTTTGCACAACCTGTAGCTCGAAAAAAAGCCTGGTGACCCATTCTTTTTATTATATTTTTGAAAAAAGCATGACAGAAACTACTTTTTGACAAATTATAAAAAAAATCTATGGATTTTAATTTAGACACCCCATCTTCATTAAGCCACGCGGAGAGATGAACATATCATCTTATGTTCTTGTGCATATATGGTGAAGGTAAATTATACGTGATACTTTATATTAGATACTTTAAATGTTAATTGTTGAAAATTCCAAACAGAGGTAAGGTCTAACAAATGCCATAAGATACATTTACATGACTTGGTTGTAGTATTTTAGAAATATGAAACATAAAAGATACTGCTACAAATCAATATTAACCACTTGACTGGCACAAATACACTTTCACGAGGGTCTCGATTTGGTTTACTGAATAGAGAATAATGGGCAAAAGTGCAGAAGGGACTTAAAAATAAAGAATATAAAAAATATTGGCAAAAAATGCAACAGAAAGGACTAAAAAATAAGGATGATTGAAAATTTGAAAATTAATAAAGAATAGTTAATAATGGGCAAACTGAATAAAGAATAGAGAAAGATACGGATGGATTGAAAAATAAAAGAATACAGAATTTAAGAACCACCAATCAAGACCCTCTTTCATGAGACAGTTATGGATATTGATTTTAATTGACAGGCACTGGTTGTCCAACATTTCCGAAGGGCTGTCCTATGGCTTGTGTTTCAATAGACACCATGGGATGTGTTTTATGCAAGTGCAGCAATAATACACAAGGTAACACTACTACTAGTTTTATTTATTACTAGGGAATAAAATATAGCTCCTTGCAATTATGAGCAATAGACTATTTTCATATTACCGACTTTTGACTCCGGAGTTTATATTTTTTCGACAGGTAACCTTCTCTGTAGGACATCCTGGTAATCGTCATGTATCAGCAACTGAAAGTATAAAAAATCAAGCTTACACTCCGTACAATTGAGGGGGACATTTACTGTTCTATGTTTTCTATACACGACAAAATCATCGGAAAACAGTAAACTTTCCTCCCAAATTGCACCAATTATATGTTTGAATTTACTTCTCTTGGTTTCTCTCACATGACTGAGTACTAGGATATCCTACCACAGATTAAGGTACCTGTCGAAAAATTGTATAATCCGGAGTCAAAAGTCGGTAATATGAAAATAGTCTGTTGGAGAGAAGTAATTTCCAAACTATTTAATCGATCTCATGGATGAACATGTGAAAATATCCTTTCTTTGAAGTAGAGCTGGTTCCCTATAATATAGAGTAATTGATAGAAGGTAATATTCATTGTCTATTTTAATATCATATCTGAATTTCTTTTTAATTCAAGGTCTCTTTTAACGTATTTCTCCATTTGATATCCGCTTCGTTAGATTACAACCAAGTGATTCGCAACGTGAGAAAAAAGTATTTTACCAAATTGTAATTTCAGAGACATTTTCAAACTTTTTGCATTAACTTTAAGAATGAAATATACTGTTTCTTTCATTATAAATTTTCGTCATAAAAATAATTTAAGTACATGTTTTGATTTTTTGAAGAACTATATTGAATGAGAAAAGATTTGTTATTGTATTGATGAATATACTTCCTTTCAAAGACACACCTTTGATTTCAGAGTTGTAAGTGTATCTAACACCCGATAAAAGTTAATTACACGTTGATATCTCTTAAAATATGTGATTTTTTTTTAAAGATTCACGCCTTTGACTGAGTGATTGCATGCAATCCTTTCACTTTATTACAGAAACAATATCTACTACTGTTAAGTTTACATAATCACACAATATTGAATTACACTCGTACATTATTGTATATATAACGAAATTGTTAGGAAAAATAAAGAACCAAAACTTAAATATTTGATTCTTCAGTAAAAAGAAATAAAGAAAAATATTTGTCATACAGAATAAAGCATAAAAGGCCTATACCAATTTTTCTGTAGGAACAGGTGCAAGCAGTAATACCGGAAATACCAATCTTGTAAATGGACCAGGGTGTGCACCTTTTGATGAAGGCTCGTGCCAGAAGAGCTGTGTCAAGCGTGATAACGACCACTGTTTAGTGTGTGATTGTTCAACAGGTGTTCGCTTTAGTGTTTACAATTGTGTTAGCTTTAGTGTTTACAATTGTGTTGGCTTAATTAAGGCTTAGATGGACTGTTTTATTAACACACGTCCATTGTGGATAAAGGATAAGATGGGTAAAGCCTTGTAGATTGCTCCCTGTATCCATCATATAGGGGTGGGAATGCCATTTCTGATATTGTTTCATAAAAACGTCACTTTGAGGTATTAAAAGAGTTCAGCTTTTGAATCTATATTCAATTCATTATATTAAATGTGCAAAGGAATAAAGCAGACACCTTGCTTAGGGTTTATAAAACAAATTGCTCAAAGTGTCAAACAAATTACTCAAAGTGTCAAACAAATTACTCAAAGTGTCAATGTTTATTTGATGCGCTAAAATTAAAAGACCGCTTCATAAAATTTATATTTACCTTCATCGGGAACTCTCAACCTCAAAAGATGTGAAAGCCAAAGATCTACAGGTTCTTGAATATTTTATGAGTTATTTGACCAAATGGGATCTACAGAGAATAGTCTAGTTCAGTGTTACCTGGGTGAGTTAGAACCTATTTTTTCAATCATTTCTAAATTTATGAACTAAGAATTTCATTAGAGTTGTCTGAAACAAATATTAGAAATAAAAAATGTCAAATGCGTAGAAGCAATAAAAAAAACAGGACAAAATGTAACACCAAAAAGAACTCCAAGACCACCTTAGGAACACCTATACTGTACATCTCTAAGTCAGCTAAAAGTTTCTAAAGCATTCATAAGTCGTCCCAGTATTAGATCACCAAACTTTTGGTACCAAGAGGGATTTCTAGATCACCAACAGTGGCACAATCCCAATTGTAAACAAAAGTAGAAATAAAAAAAAATGATGTTATTTTGATGCACATTTAACTTATCGCGAATACTTATTTCTTATTAGCAATGGTTGAAAACCAAACACCTGGGCATTAGTTTTTCAAAACTGTCAAAAAGAAAAGAGGAGGTAGACAGGAGTGCAATAAAAAGTCATTGCAATTGATAAAAAATAAAACGACTAAAGGAAAAACAAAAAATACAAAACATCCCATAGAAAACAAAGGACTGAACAACACGAGCACATCCAAAATCCGGGGTAAATTCATATGATTCCGGAGATGAAGCAGTTTCTGTTCGAAATGTTCCAGCTTCAAATGTTAAAAGAAGATAATTTTAGTGTATGCAGTGTAAATTAATTTTTTAAATCTATATTATAGGAACATCTACTGGTGGAAGTAAAGGATCAGGTGGATGCCCACCTTTTGATGTCAGCAACTGTGATATGAGTTGTGTTGGGATGGACTCGATGGGTTGTTTAAGTTGCAACTGTCCAGCAACAACGACTGGTGGGCATTTTATTAGTACCAGAATGTTATTTGCTATTTATGCTATAGTACTTACTTTCCTTCTAATATAAGATAACCTGACACTAATCAGAATTATATATAAACAGTTCACATGCTCTAATAATAAATTCTAGTAGGACACTGGAATTGATATCTTACCATATTTGAAGGCTTTTCAGATAACACACGTGCTTGATCATAAAAACAATAAAAAAGTGTAATAAAATTGTTCTATTATATTGCATCATGTTTCTAAAATCCCCAAGCTCTGTAAAATCAATAAAATTAAAATAAAAAAATGTTCCAGCCACGTTCATAAAATAAGGAGACGTGGTATGATAACAATAAGGCAACTATTCAACAAATTTCAATTAATCAAGTTTTATGAGTATTTCTAGCATTTTTATTTAGCATTTGGTCGATACCACTACTGGTTGGACTTTTAATCTCCAAGGTATCACCAACTCAGTAGTCAGTGCTTCGGTACTGACATGATGTATTACAAACTTTTCTTAAATTCTCCGTTGATATTTTTAGAAATTGTTAAGAAACTAAGGTCCAAAGTGAAAATAAAAGCTGATATAATGGAAATATTACTATTTATTTACTTACTGAAACTGCAGTAATGAGAATTATTAATATTGTAGCTGCATCTCCTGGAGGAACTACACAAGCGCCATCTAGTGGAGGAGGCCAAGGAGCAGGAGGATGTCCTCCATTTGATGTGTCAACATGTGACATGGACTGTGTTGGTATGGATGCAAATGGGTGTCTGAGTTGTAATTGTCCAGCGTCGACAGGTTAGATATCAAATATATAGAGTTAAAACAATGTTACAAGGTGTCATTCAAATATGATATATCTGAGAGTTGTACGGTTGTGCAACATGTGGAGCAGGATCTGCTTACCCTTCTTGATCATATGAGATCACCCCAAATTTTTGGTGGGGTTTGTGTTTCACAGTCGTTAGTTTCCTATGTTTTGTTTTGTGTACTATTGTTTGTCTGTTAGTCTTTTTTTTTTTAGCCATGTCGTTGTCAGTTTATTTTCGATGAGTTTGAATGACCCTTTAGTATCTTTTGCCTCTCTTGTACAGTACAAAGCCATTTAAACGAACTTGTCTGAACTTTTGTAGTGCAAAAAAGAATCTGAGTCGTATTATTCATGACGTCTTTCAATAGGATCTTCGAGACACCTTCTTCATTTGGAGATGGTGTGTCTTTGATAACATCCGATTGACACTTTTTTGTCTTGGGTGACTTGCAATCAAATATGCTGGTTCCTTTTCTTCTATTTGACATACAGTTAAGAGGATGTGGATGGGGGCCCGTCATGTCTGTATTCTTTTATCTTTTAGCCAATATTTCTCTATTCTTTATATTTTTGGCCCATTTTTTTCTATTCTTTATACATGTATTTTAAAACCCCATTATTCTCAAATTTTTAATTTTTATACCCTTTATACCCTTTCCCTCATTGTTCTATATTCTGTAAACCCCATCCAGACCATCAGTTAAGCTACTGGTTTGGTAGAATCCCCGAAGACAGATCTGTTTAAGTAAATTATCATGATGATGGTAACACCAGACTGTTCAGGTTTTTGTTGTTTGTTTTTCATATTGTCTAGATGGGCAAAAGGTCGTCTTTGATCCGCATATGAAACGTGTTTGCGTCTGGTGTACCAAATTATAGGCCTGGTATCTTTGATAAATTTTTACAGCCACTAGATCGATGCCACTGCAGGTGGACGTTCGTCCCCGAAGTTATCACAAATCCAGTAGTCAGTACTTTTTTTGAATTTGATTGGTATCTTCATTATCTGTAAATCTACTGATTATAGAAATTCAGTTATTCAAAAAGACTAGGGTTGTCCGTCCTCTAGACATTTATTGGCGAAGTCGCATTTGGAAACACTGTTTTGAGTGTTTGTTGTTTAACTCTCTCCAACTTCGCACCTGATAAGGCATTTCAACTGTCCGAGCTCCACTGATAGGATATGTGTAGACGAAACGAACGTCTGGCATACAAAATTATAAGCCTGATATTTTTGTGAGATTTTTTTTAACCCACCACAATTTATGAGATGATAACAACCACTGGGGCGATGCCACTGCTGGTTGAGGTTAACTCCCCGGGGTATCACCAGCCTTGTAGTCAGCACTTCAGTGTTGACATGAATTATCATTGATATGGTCATAATTATAAAGTAACTGTTTACAAAACTTTGAATTCTTTTCGAAATACTAAGGATTTTCTACCCCAGGAATAGCTGCATTTAGAGAAACATTTCTGAGTGCTGGTTAACTCTCTTCAATTTTGCACTTGATTAGAGATGTTTTGTTTTGAGCCCCACTAATGAGTTATGTGTTGACGAAAAGAACGTCTGACGTTCCAATTTGTAAGCCTGATATTTTTTGTGAGATTGTTTTATCCCATCACATTTAATGTGGTAATTTGGACCATTCTCCTGTTTGTGAATTTTCATAGAAGATGAGTTTGTTGTTGCTTGGCGTGGTCTTTTGTGCTGTTTAGTAATAGAGGTATTTTTCTATGTTCTTTGTAAGTATTATTCTCCGTAAGGTGGTACCAAACACCTTGACTAAAATTAATTTGGCTCGTTTAATTTTCATAAAATTTTGACAAAATATTTATTTTGATCCTTTGACAAAATTATAAAAATTTCAAAATACTTGAACCACGCAATTTATCGGAAAAATTTCATAGGATATATAGCAGTTTGACAAACATAAACTTTGATCATTGAGAAGTTTAATATTTCCTTAACAATAGAACGTGATTAAAACGTTCGGCTGATTTTTACAGAGTTATCTCCCTGTAGTGTACTACCTTAATCGATGGATACGGCTACGCTATTTTAAAAGGGACATTCCTTTTGATATAAGGGAAATACAGATTCTTACTAATAACGTTCACGGTACCATTTCAACTGCACCAGATGCACATTTCGACAATCAATGTCCAATCGTCTAAGCAAAAGTACATTGTCAATAGGATTTGCATAGTAAAACAAACTTGAACATTTGGAGTAATGACTCGTATATTTAGATACATAGAATAATGAGCCAGTCAGGTGAAATTAATTTACTAATGCTTGATTAACTCTTAAATATTAAACAAATAAATATTTAAATCAAAATGAGCAGAATGCTTAAATAAAACTAAGGAAGTAATTTGAAATTGAGGAATGTACCTCCCACATATATCTAATTCTTGGTGCGGCTTAAACTTTTGGTAATGTACCTCCCACATTCAAAGATCTTATTCTTTGTGCGGCTTATACTTTTGGTAATGTACCTCCCACATTCAAAGATCTTATTCTTTGTGCGGCTAATACTTTTGATAATGTACCTCCTACATTCAAAGATCTTATTCTTTGTGCGGCTTATACTTTTGGTAATGTACCTCTCACATTCAAAGAAATAATTATGTGTGCGGCTTATACTTTTGGTAATGTACCTCCCACATTCAAATATCTTATTGTTTGTGCGGCTTATACTTTTGGTAATGTACCTCCCACAATCAAAGATCTAATTCTTTGAGCGGCTTATACTTTTGGTAATGTACCTCCCACATGCAAAGATCTAATTCTTTGTGCAGCTGCCTGTACTTTTAGTAACTTTCGGTTATATCTCCTCTTTAAGATGTATTAGGTTTTTGAACATCACTGCAGAGAAATCATTGTCAACATTTGAAATCGGCAGTATTATCAATATTTTAGCGGCACCTGCAGGAGGAACTACGCAAACGCCATCTAGTGGAGGAGGTCAGGGAGCAGGTGGATGTCCTCCCTTTGATGTGTCAATATGTGACATGGATTGTGTTAGCATGGATGCAAATGGATGTTTGAGTTGTAATTGTCCAGCATCGACAGGTTAGATATATAGAATATGTTTCTTTATTTATATCTCTTCTAGTGCTGCATAAAGATTATTCAATTAAGTTTTTCAGCTGAATGCTTAATATGAATCTTACGAATCGGATATACCTATAAGATGAAATTGGGCTTTGAACTAACGTTCAGTAAAGTAAAGATTAGGGGATGATTGAGCACTCTCAAATATTTTTTAATCTCAGATTATTCTTTATGTTCCTGTCAGAAACCAGGATTCTTTAATTAAGTGTTTGATGCTGTCTGCTGAGTGCCAATATAATCATCATTAAGGCAGTTGGTTTTCTGTAGGGTTCGCGTGATTTTTTTTATAAATCATCGCATAGCTTTGTAAAAGAACAGAGGGATAACATTTATATAAACAATTAATTTTGGAATGTTGAATCAATTAAAACAAGTAAACATTTGTGAAATATTGGAAACTCAGTATTGAACTGAAATGCAGATACACTTCAAATACAAATGAATGTCTAACTGGAATAAAACAAACTTTAGTTGTTTTCTTAATTTTCTTAGCTAGTCCAGGTACAACAAATTCATCTAGTTCAGGAAATCAAACCTCTGGAGGTCAGGGTGCAGGCGGCTGTCCACCATTTGATGCTTCAGTCTGTGACTTGAATTGTGTATCTATGGAATCATCTGGTTGCTTAAGCTGTAACTGTCCGCCATCAACAGGTAAAAATTGTGGTTGTTTAATTTGGTAAAGCCGTTCGGACAACCGAAAAGAATTTTTTTTATCAACATCTACAAACGTTCGTCTTCTTAAGGTAAAATGTTATGTTATTGTTAGTAGTACAAATTTTCGTCATTTTAGGTAGGAAATGATGTTGTTTTTAAATTATAGATGTTCGCCATCTTCAGCTAAGAAATTATATGGTTAAGTTACACAAAGTGGTCGCTGAAGCTGCACATCTTAATTATCCGCAGTAAAAAGTGGGTGTTAGAGCTATACATATTTTTCCCATACAGGTCGGATATAACGTGATTTTTACAGCTTAAAATTTTTGTCGCCTTCAGATTAGATATTATGTGGTAGTTAGATTGATATATATTCGTTACCTTCAGCGAGGAAAGAGGGTTGCTGTTAAAGCTATAAGTATTTGTCATCTTCAGTCAGTAGACTATGTGGTTGTTATAGCTACAAATATACGCCAGATAATGATGCATTGTTACGTTGTAAACGCATTGAGCCTTCTTGTTATAATTTCTCAAGAAGTGGCTGTAATTATACTTTTTTAAAACTTTTTAAAAAAGTTCACTATTTGCTGCTTATAGTTCTTCTGGTTGCTCCTATAATAAATGAACGTTCTCTAGTTTGTAAGTGTGTACATGTCCATGGTTCTTATTGTATATGTTTTATCTCTTGCATCTACAGGTATTTATGACGTTTGTTGTTTGTGCGTTTATCCATCTTGTAGAGGTGATCTCTAATATTATAGCTGTGATTCTTTTTGTTGGATTTTGAAAATGTAAATGACTGCTTTTCATGCGTGAGGATTAATTTGTTCTTTCTATGAATGAATTGCATCTAAAGGTAAAGATTCCTACATCAACTTCTATGTGAACTAACTTCTCTTGTTGCATTATACAGGTAGTGATCTTTTTCTTTTGTAAAGACATGAATGTCAGGTACAATTATTAATTGCATTCACGTAGGTTGTCTTGTGCGTTTGTCTGCATATAATCAATTTTTGATTGATTCATGCTTGAATGTTTATAATACAACCGATATTGGATCACATTTGGAAGGTTAACACAGGATGCAAGCAACACTTGATAGAATTGTATCAATCATTATCAGTTACAAAAGTTAATATGCTTCTTCGATGTCTTTCAGAAGGGTAAAAGATCGAACTTTGCAAATAAAAATTTCCCCCGTATTAATGACAATTAAACATGATTTATTTAAACATGTATGCATTTTCATGTAGATAGAAATAAAGCTTCAAACTCATAAATCCTTTAAATCTACAATTTTCAACGGAGTCTAATGCATTTAACACAAAATCTATGATTATAAATGTAACATATGCTGTTTGATATTTTAAGTCGCACCGTCAGGAGGAACAACACAAGCGCCATCTAGTGGAGGAGGCCAAGGTGCAGGCGGATGTCCTCCCTTTGATGTGTCAACATGTGACATGGACTGTGTGAGCATGGATGCCAATGGATGTTTGAGTTGTAGCTGTCCAGCATCAACAGGTTAGATATTGCAGTGTGGTTTCATTTATAACTGCGGGTTTACGGTTGGCAGAAAAAAACCCTTTTTTCGTAAATACTTAACATTTGTTTTTTTTTACAAGTTCTGCTGACAATTGTTCTGTTTCTAAAAAGACGATCTAAAATACCAAAAGTTTGATCAGGAATCGTAAGTCGAACAAATACAGACAACCAGATCTTGACATAAAACATACAACCAGAACGGCAAACAAAACACAACACAGAAGATTTAACAACGCTTATAAGGAGCCTTCGGGGATAGTTACAAACGAGGAAAATATAACGGAAATGTGGCCATGTGGAATATGGAACATCATATTGGTCATATGTGAAACAGCTACTCCTTTATACTCAACCAAATCAAAATGGCGTCCATAAAAAAGAGAAGTCTTGTTTGTTTCAGTTAGAACTATATAATTAGTTACACAGTGGGCTAGTGACCTTATACTATATATACTTGGTCAGTTAATTTATCTAACGACTATATTAGTGTGGGGTAATTAAGACGTATTTGTTAAACTGAATATATTTTTCAGTTGAGGTTATAATGAACAATATGAGTAATTTAAGCATTAACATTAAAGAATTAATTCAATGACAGAAACGTCAATATTAAAAACCCATTTGCACTGGTGTTTATAATAAAATGCCATAAATAACAATAAAATAGCAAAGAAGTACTACTAACTGTGTATATAAAAAAGAAACGCACATTAACTGAGTATTATAATAAAACCCACCCTAAGGCCCTGAAATTGAACTCAAGTGCTCTGGAAAGATAGGGTGTTATTGTTTACAAATAACCAACCTAAGGAGGATCACCTTTGCCTTAAAAAATCAAGTATACACCTTTGGGGTGTTGTTGTAGCAGGCGCCGTGGAGTATACATAAGCAATCTCACTTAAGTTCGTCAAAGAGTAAAATCACCAACTTTAATCATTTCGGTAAAAACAAATACATTTTTAGTGGCACCGACAGGATCAACAGCAGCAACGACTGTTGGAAATGGATCTGGCGGAGGACAAAGTGCCGGTGGATGTCCACCATTCGACGTATCAACGTGTGATATGAGTTGTGTTGTAATGGACTCTAGTGGATGTCTAAGCTGTAGTTGTCCACTAACAACAGGTATTTTGTTTTAAGGTTATGTAAACCATACAGCAGTGAATGTTCATGAAGAAACATATTATAAAAGCGCATATATCAACATAATTTGATACATATTGTTCATACGTCCGTCTATTAGTTAACCTATCAATATTGTTATTATTGCATATACAAGAAAAAAAGTTTCATATGTAGGTTTAACTTGTTTCTGATAGTATCTTTATTACACATGTATTGATTAAATAAAACGTTCCGAAAATAGAATACTAGTAAACATATGCAGTATTGTTGTTCGTACTTTGCATTCTCCAGATAACATAGTTATTACATGTACCAATTGAAATATCTGCCTATATAGTTTGAAGGTATATATCATAACGACAACATTCGAGGATACTAGTACTAAAAATGTTTTCAAAGCAGAAAGTAATGCAGAACGCCATCGTCAGATCGTTGTAAACGAAGCGCGGACACAAAATCTTTATGTTCATGAGATTGTTTTTAAACAATGCCCATTATGATTGCTAATAATTTAAATTTCAGTATCATCTGGATCTAATACAACAGTTGTAACAGGAACTACACAGTCGCCCCAAGGTGCAGGTGGATGTCCAGCCTTTGATGCTTCAACTTGCGATATGAGTTGTGTTGCCATGGATTCAAATGGATGTCTAAGCTGTCACTGTCCTGACACAACCGGTAAGTAAATTACAAAAGTAACATTTTATCTAAACACGATCAAGTTTAGACGACTTTGCCCTTGGCCAGACAAATATCCCTCAAAATATCGTTATCACACCTTTGATATTTCATACAGACCAATATGGACAAAGAACGTTAATCACAAGTTAATGTTAAACAAAGCATATCAGTCTGAATAGGGAGTTGATAATATTGTTAAAAGTTTTTTTACATGTTATTGAAGATTTTAACTACAGGCTTATAATTTTGGTTCTTTTTTCATTGTGATATTAAGAAAATATCCTTTATAAATAAAACCCGACTATATATGATCTGTTTTTAGTATACTAGCTTTATATTTTTTTTCATTGCTTGATATGGAATTATCCGGCTCTCATAATTTAGACTCTGCTATCATGCAGGAACATAAGTAAGTGATTTGTAACAATGTTGTCCTATTTGATGTTTTCTAATTTAAAGCATTTTGATTTCGAAAGTAATTCTTGTGCATTATTTATATAATTACACTATACAATAACTGTCTTTTGTTGAGGTAAAAAAGCGAGTTGAACATCACTATTCAGTTAATATGCTGTCTTATTCAAAATCACACTCTACTCCAACTATAGAAAGGACCCGATTAAAATAATACAACTATGGTATACAGTTAATTATCGTATTTATTCGCTACGTCTATAGACGTTATGGAAATTTTAACATAGCTTGATCCATTGTATTGACACATTTCTGTTGTTGAAGACCTTATGTTGACTTCATGACGTCTTTCTATAGTGTTGTTTGGTTTTTCTTTCATTGACATGTTAAACCATCTCATTCTATTCATACAGGTCACGTTTTGTGAATATTAAGTGAAGGGATCAATCTACCCATGATGATCTTTTATCAGGTAATATCCAGTGTATACTGAAAGTATCATTTTTTTTAAAATTACCTTTGAGGTCAAAATATTTTTGTAGTATTCATGAACTCACGCTATCAAAACATTGAAAGACAATATACTTTTGATATAGTGGGTTCTGTGACGACAACTGCCGCTGCATCAGGAACAACAGCTTCTTCAGGAAATGGTCAAGGAGCAGGTGGATGTCCTGCCTTCGATGTCTCTACTTGTGATATGAATTGTGTTTCCATGGATTCAAATGGTTGTCTTGGTTGCAACTGTCCTGCTACAACAGGTATGATTTGTTTAAGGTACTTCTATTTAAACTTTTATTTTCATTATATATATGGTGATCCGTTTCAACCTTTGAACCAAGCAGTTTGTGTATTATTATTAAGTTTGATAATATAAATCTTTTAACGCACTACAAATCGTTTCGTGTCAGAAAATGAATAATTTAAAGATAATTGCATACACTTAAGATTCATAATTAAGAAACGTGGCTTACATAAAACATATTAATATCTGATTTTTCTTTGGTAAACTAGCTTTATATTAATACCTTTGCTATTTATAAAATGATTATGCCCCCTATGTTTCACTCAATCCCTGCTATCTTGCAGCAACAAAACTCATCGAAGATTAGGCAAAATGAGTATATTATTTCAAGAATAACTCTACCCAACGCCACCGAAAGAGAATTATCACAAAATTTGTAATTACCACGAGAAACAGAAGGATCAGCTTACCCTTTTAGAGCACATGATACAACCCATAGTTTTTATAGGGTTTGTGTTGTCCAGTCTTTGATTTGTCTCGACTTGTGAGTGTTGGATGATCCCTGGGTATCTTCTGCCTCTTTTTTAAATCATGTTTGAGTGACATTTCTATTTTCAAACTTGACTTAACATTTAACCAATATAACTTTTGCACATTTTTTCTGATGATACATAATACTTTAGAATAGAAAACATTTGGCTCTGCATAAGCACATTATGAATATTACTTTTAAAAAGATTTGGACTACGTTTTAGATGCAGAGTTGTTTATAGTTTGGTATAGTAAATGGTCACATTTTCTTGTTGTAGACGTCTTGTTTCAATGTGGTTTGGTTCTCATAGACATACACCAACATCTCAATCTATGCATACAGAAAACAAAATACCACAAGTAAAGCTATAAAATGAACCGTGATAATCCTTTTTCAAGAAAATATTCAATATAACTGACATTTTATTGCCTTTTTAAACTTTATTTTGATCATGTTAGGATACATTTTTGTAAAACATGCAATTCTCTCAAGCCAAAAGTTTGTACCTTTGAAATAGTGGGTTCTGTGACGACAACTGCCGCTGCATCAGGAACAACAGCTTCTTCTGGAGGTGGTCAAGGAGCAGGTGGATGTCCTGCCTTCGACGTCTCTTCTTGTGATATGAATTGTGTTTCGATGGACTCAAATGGTTGTCTTGGTTGTAATTGTCCTGCTACAACATGTATGATGATAAATTAAGTCATTTCTCTGTCATAAAGTATATAATAAGTTGAAATAAAATACAATCAAATGACCATAGGTGTTATTATACTTCAAGTTTAAATGCCAGATTTTGATTGGTTAATACGAGGGATATAATTTACTCTATCCCATGGCAAATACTCTATTACCCTTCAAGGAGAAGCTTGATCATTTGTGCGCTTTATTAAATACGAATGATTGTCATGTACAAGACGTCATATATATAATTACTTTGAATTTGAAATTTAATAGACAGTGATAACAAAACATTCAGTATAAAAAGTAGAATAACATCATATCTGAGAGGGTGGTAGAACAGATTGTTACCCCTCGAAAAGACATTGTTAACCTTGGCTTTGCCTCGGTTGACAATGATTTCTCGAGTTAACAATCTGCTCTATCACCCTCTCAGCTATGTGTTATTTTTATATTGTCAAGGCAAGGTCATCGTAGAGGGATAACTCAAATTCAGAAAGACATAACTACTTCCTTTCTAATAACTCACAAAAAAATCAATGCGATGGTTACATCAAACCTTAATATCAAATTTAAAAGTCTTTCTAATCAAATCTTTAAATTATGTTAAAAGTAAGACTTAACGACCCTGGTTCAGTCTCAACAGCGCATGCAGTCTCAATTACTGAATTCTAGGGTTCCAAGTCAATTTTTTGTTAACCCCCACCTAGGGGCATTATGTTTTTTGGTCCGTGCGTCTGTTCGTTTGTTTGTTCGTTCGTTCGTCCGTCTGTCCCGCTTCAGGTTAAAGTTTTTGGTCAAGGTAGTTTTTGATGAAGTTGAAGTCCAATCAACTTGAAACCTAGTACACATGTTCCTTATGGTATGATCTTTCTAGTTTTAATGCCAAATTAGAGTTTTGACCTCAATTGCACGGTTCCATGAACATATAAAATGATAGTGCGAGTGGGGCATCCTTGTACTATGGACACATTCTTGTTCACTACGTTGAACTTCTACATGACGTATGTATTTAATGACATGAAACATAATGTTTGCCTGAACATATTATCATTTAGAGATTAAAAATTTATATTCATTCTGATATTTACCATTTTGTTGTGTATTTTTTTCAGCCACTCCTGCATCTACTGCGGCACCTTCTGGAACTACTAATGCGCCTTCTGGCGGAAACGGAAACAATGGCGGTTGTCCAGCGTTTGATGCAAATCAGTGCGACATCAAATGTACAAAAATGGACGTCAATGGATGTCTTCATTGTGAATGTCCAGGTTGGTTTTCAAAGTATTTTTGAATGTGAAGATATTTCCGTTAAAGTATATTTTGCATTTGTTAAATTTGGCAATATATTATTGTTAAAAATAATTTTCTTAACCAAGGTATAACGTCAAATGACAAAATAGAATTTTTGTCTTAAATACGTTTGAAGTACATACATTTTTTGTAAATCGAGAACATTTCAATAAAACATAATTTTATTTGATTTTAAATTTCAAATTCATAATTTGTGTATTTTTTTTTTTAACCAAACAAACATACATAAAATGTTTTATTTACAAGTGAAAAAAGGGTATACTAAATTGGCCTTCTTTGTTTGAGTATTTATTTACACTCCTACGAAATTGACTGACTTTGGAGGCATTATGCATTTTACCCAACCTTCTATTTCCATCACAATTTTCAATGTGAACACCTTGATTCTAAAACATTTTGAAATAAATCGTTAGTATGTAATACATCTTCATTTTTGGCGATCCACATCTTTATGATTAGGAAAATCTCCTGGATTGTAAGTCGCCGAGGATCGCCCGACGTCACAAAATTTTTATTTCATTTTATAGCATTGGTCGATACCGTTGCAGTTTGACTGTTAATACCAGTAGGTATCATCGAATCAATTGTCAGGGCTTAGGTATTGACATGATTTGTAACATACCTCAATTAAATTTGTTGTTGATTATTTGGCAAATCATTAAGAAACTGAGATTTAACTTACTCAGGCATACAATTGGAAGATGTTCAATTAGAATTTATTTCTATTTGGCAGAGTTGAATATTTATTAACATTGCCATATAAGCGGAATGTTTGGCTAGCCATAAAACCAGTTTCAACGCACCATTTTTTCTTAAAATGTCCTGTACCAAGTCAGGAATATGGCAGTTGTTATCAAATAGGTCGTTTCTATGTATGTTGGCGTATGTTTTTGTTCGATTTATGGCTTTTGAACAGTGGTATACTACTGTTGCCTTTATTTAGAGGTTATTTGTTTAGTTTCAGTTTGGTCATATAGATTCTAACGTATTCAGGTATCATTACATCTTTGGCGTCCCCATTTTGAGGTTTGAGCGTTCCTGATAAATGCTTATATTTATTTGATTTTTAAAAGTAAAACTTTGGATCCTAAGAAAAAAAAAAAAAAAAAAAAACTGGTTACTTTATACTGTGCCAAACATTTCATCTGTAAATTATGGCAATATGTTTTATGGATAATTATCGTTAACAGAAAATAAACCTACGAAATTCGTTTGCGTGTATCAAAAAAGCTTAAACTAGATTCTATGATGTTTAAACTCTCTCTCGCACTGCTCGTCTGAATTAAAAAAAAAACTTCTTTAAATTCATTTTACTATAAACAAGACAAACACAGAAATAGGATTAGTTGCTCGCAGTAACATATTATTCTCTCTTGCGATACAATATTTTTATTTACTTGAGTGTACAGATTCCTCCCCCCCCCATTTCAAACAACATATAAATACATGTAATAAACATAGCAGCAACTTATATATTCCGATGTGACTAACTTTGACTCGACTTAACTGCGAGCATCTTTGATACTAATACATTAAAATGCCAAACTTTATATAGTACCATAAAACCCCACCCGTAGAAACGACCAAAACATTTCTCGTGCCGTATGCACCTAACATCAAACTAAATATTTAGTACTGTTGCAGAACTAGTTATATTAGTTCCCATCTATATATAAGTTTCACAAATAGCAAACGGGGAAATCCCAATTTCAATCGAAATGAAATATATCCAGGCCTCTACAATAACTTTTTTTCCAACTTGTTCAGTCCAGTAGGACAAGTACATACCAAAACTTACTTGTCCGAATGAAATTTTAACTTGTCCAACAAAAATCTTAATAATAACCTTTTTTGCATTTTAAGTTGATTCAAGGAACAAAATGAATTAAAACAATAAAACAGAGTCGAGAAAACTGAATCTGGTCATGTCACAGGACTTAGGTTCTAGTTTTCATCAATGCCGAAGTCTCATCAGACTCTACACATGAGGCACCGTCTGATAGGCCTGTCAATGTCCACTCATTGGATTTGTATCCTGGTTTTTTAGGTTGGAAAAAGTTTATTCAAATGCAATCAATAAAAAAAAGAAGATGAGGTATGATTGCCAATGAGACAACTCTCTGCAAGAGACCAAATGACACAGAAATTAATAACTATAGGTCAACGTATTGCAAGTATTGTTTTTTTTTCTATATATGATCAAATATGATTTGTGAATTTTATGGTAAATAATTTCTTCATTTTTATTTAAAAAATATTTTTGTTAAAGAAATAACGGTATGGTATTTATTATGAAGCAACAGAATAAGGTAGGAAAACAGGTACTGATTTGTCTTGGTCCCGAAATGTCTCCTGTCTTCTGCGTTGCCAAACTGTCTATTAATCATGTCTATTAAATATGTCTCCTACGGTGCCAAACTGTCTATTAAACTTGGAGCCGAATCGTTTCCGAGCTGGTGACGAACTGTCTTGTAAAGTTACCTTATCTACAAAGCGCATCGCTGATTCGGATCAGTAAGACTGGTTTCCGAGAATAGTATGCCTTTTACCTGTTAAAAAGTACCTGACAAGAACCAGTTTTAAATTACCGATTGCAAGTAAACATGTCAAATTAAAACTTGTTTTTATCTTCTTTTCTTGTTTTTTGTTTATAATTACTTTGTTCATCAAAGTTGGATTAAATTAATTTTCTGCATAATAATTTAACTTATCCCGTCGGACAAGCTTGATATAGCTGTTACTTGTCCGACCTTTTTTTTCTCTGGTACCGGACAATCGGACAAGCGTTATTGTCGAGCCTTGATATCTCTATTGTCTTTTACGGAAATAAAATTTTATGTTTACGTAAATTGGAACTTTGAATCAAAAGTGTTATCAATAGTTATGTTGTTAATCAACTGTTTTTGTCCGGCTGAGGAAGCCAATATGCAAACCATAAATTGTTAATCCTCATAATTTATCATAACCACTAAATATTTCATTTATTTTAAAGTTTCCAACAATAGCACAGTTAATACTTTTGGTCCTGGCACACTTGGAGGTGGTACAGGGGGAACTTCCGGTAACAATGGTGGATGTTCTGCAATAAGTCCCGGATGTGATATTAGCTGTCTTCAAATCAACAGTAATGGATGTGTAATATGTTCTTGTAAATGTACGTTTAACAAGTTAAGGATGTTCGCTACTCTGTTTCAAAATAACAAGCTTTTTAAATGACTGTTAAAGAATTATATTATATAAATAAGGGAACTAAAAAAGCAGAAAAAATGAAGGGTTCATGTGCTTGTTTTCAAGATATAAGCCATGACAAATTTGGCAGGGAATAATTCTCTCTAGAATTTTCATACATTTAACATTGGCACCTTTTTTCTTTCAAAAACGATGAACAAATAACAAGGATGTTTTAAGATTTTCAAAGATATCATTTTAAACAATATGTATCAAATAATAATAAGAAAAGTAAGAGTTAATGGGCAAATTTTTTTAATGGTAGTTCGTGGATAAAACCAGAGCCTGGAGTCCGAACATCTGACAAAATTCAAAAACCCAGAGGAGCGAATATCCTTTAGGACATGATTGGAAGTTTTTTTATTTTACTGAACTAGTAATGGAAATAGTAACAAAAGGCAGTCTATTTATAACTTTTGCAGTCGTAGAAAAAATAATAAATATAAAATAAATAAATAAATAAATAAATAAGCAAGCTTTATTTAGAGTCGGCAAAGTATACAAACAAGGACATAACATAAGCTCTAATGAGCTTTCAACCGACACAAATCTCTGTGCTAGTATATAACTCATCTAAGCGCTTACAGTACTCTTAATCATTATTAGATTTAATAGTAGTAACAAAAACTGTTAAAATGTTAAAATGATTGTATTTTTAATGTACGTCGCGGTAAATTTTAAGGCAATTTCTGAAAATGTTATGCTTTAAAAGTATATTTGTCCGCTTGTTGTGTTGCTCATTGCACAGATGATGAGTAATGACTGACATTCAGTTATAAGTTTACTCACAGGGAGGCAATGGTATTTTGGACTTGAAGTGAGGTGTGATCTGACCTCGCGATAATTTGAGGTTAAGAATGGCAATACAAATGTTGTTCCTTTGTTTTTGTTTTAGGTTTTTGCAATTTGTGTAATATGTAGTTTGTATTATGAATGTACAGACAAACTCATCATAGATACAGGATTACAACTGTGAATGATACACGCGCATTTTGTCTACATATGACTCGTCAGTCACGCTCGAATAAAAAATTATAGACAATATCCCTTCCTTTTATTAAGAAAAAGGAAATAGATCAGAAGTCGACGAAAGACAGACAACACCTTTACATAAAGAACAAAGATAAAAAACAAACAAAATAAATCAAATATCAAGCGACAGAACCATACAGAAACTGGCGCTTTTGATTGTTTGAGCGATTGCGCACTAAACATTAAACATCTATCTGTTGTAAACTGATCTTCGTATCTAATTGTTTAAGGATGTTCGCTACTCTGTTTCAAAATAACAAGCTTTTTAAAAGACTGTTATAAATTGATAGTATATACATGAATAAACTAAAATAGCAGAAAAAAATGAAGGGTCCGTGTGTTTGCTTTCGAGATATAAGCTATTGAAAATTTGGCGGGAAATGATTCTCTCTAGATTTTTCATACATTTAACATTGGCACCTTTTTTCTTTCAAAAACAATGAAAAAATAACAAGGATTTTATAAGATTTTCAAATATGGCTTTTTAAACTATATGTAATAAAATTATGAAAAGAAAAGTAGGGGTTAGCGGGCAAAATTTTTAAAGGCACTACATTGATAAAACCAGAGGATTCCGAATATCTAGCAAAAAAACAAAAACAAGAGGAGCGAACATCCTTGAGAGGAGGCAAATCAAGCTTAAACAAAACCTGAGGTAATCACAGAAGGAGAAAATTAAACGTTTTCAGCTAGGCATGCATTGAAGAGACAAGAAACGAAAATTAAAAAAAAAATGGTGGTTGTTATTACATAAAATATTACATTTCTTAATCTGTTTTCTTAAAATTGCTGCGAGTTTTTTTTTTTTTTTTTTTTTACAGTTTTTATATTTTTGATCTGCTGAATTATTGTTTCATTCCTAGAGGTTATTAGTCTTTTTAATTTCAGCAACATCAATAAAACCGTTGGTTCTTACAACAAAAGCACCTGTCACACCTTTACCAACATAAATCATTACATTTCTTAATTCTATTTTCTTAAAATTGCTGCGAGTTTTTTTTTTAAAAGTTTTTATATTCTTGACTTGCTGAATTATTGTTTCATTCCTAGAAGTTGTTAGTCTTTTTAATTTCAGCAACATCAATAAAACCGTTGGTTCTTACAACAAAAGCTCCTGTCAGACCTTTACCAACAACCAGAGCTCCTGTGACAACAAAAGCCATCCTGACAACAAAAGTACCAATAGCTACAACAGATTCAAACGTGTGTCCACCAATAAGATGTGTTGCTCCATGTAACGTTGGAATAACATTCGGGCCAGATAATTGCCCTATTTGTAAATGCAAAAATTAAACGAACTACAAAAGTAGACTTGGAATTATTTAGATCCACATGATTATGATTACGCTAATTTTCAATTAAGTAATAGCTATAGGAATTTTTACATTCTCAAGTTTATTCTTGCGATGCATAATCAGTGAGATAGTTGGAACTTTCATATTGGTATTCTTTTGGGTGTTTATGGATACATTGATACCTTTGAACTTTTTATTTTGTTGGATACTTCGCTGATGGGAAATATATATTCGAAGTACTCATATGATGTGTAAATTAGAAAAAAAAAATGGAAATCCATCAAAGCTGACAAAGGCAAATGCTTAGAGTCATATGAAACGAGTTTCTTATAATTATGATTATTTCGAAATAATTGAAACTATGCATTCATATACACTAAACTAAATCCGATATGTACGTAATTTTACATTATTAGGAATCTATAACGTACCGTCAACAAATAATAGTTCTTTCTTTGATTGTTGATCACAAGCTAATTAACTTTCGAGCTTAAGCTTGGTGTAGAGGTTTACCGGATCGTGATTTTGATAAACAATCAACACATATCACAAGGAGCAGGTGAAAAATAGATGAATTGACAGAGCAACAATATTTTTTTATATCTTTCATGCGTTTTCATTTGTTAATCAAACTTTTCCTTAACAATTGTTAAATGATTTGGTGTATTTGGTTTGTTCTTTAAGAACCAGTCATTACTAATTATCTTCTAGTGCATGTTTGTTTACATTCTTTCATTACGGTTTTCCCTTTACACTGTTTGCACGTAACGTAATAAGTGTTTGCATATAACGTAATAGGTGTTTGCACATAATGTAATAGGTATTTGCACATAACGTAATAGGTGTTTGCACATAATGTTATGGGTATTTGTACTTAACGAAATAGGTGTTTGCACATAATGTCATAGGTATTTGCACATAACGTAATAGGTGTTTGCACATGATGTAATACGTATTTGCACATAACGTAATAGGTGTTTGCACATAATGTAATACGTGTTTGCACAGAACGTACCAGTAGATTCACATGACATCTTGAATGTTAACAGAAAGTATCAACTGTTTGGCAAAACGCATATAAGCTATACCATGATATGTTATATTTTTCACAGAAGATACATATGTATAAACAACATAAAGCTATTAAAATATAATATCATGAGGTTTTCATAGAACAAAGATGTATCAAAACAAAACGTTTAGAATATTCAACATAACAATCACATTTGAGACAGGACGCAATTATTAACTGACTTACTTAAAGGAAGAATGGACACAACATAGAGGAAATGTGAAAGAACGTAAAGGTGGTTGATCATAAAGTTTAGAGGTATTCACAGAATATGCAGTAGTTACAACATAATGTAATGCATATTGCACACAACAAAGAATAGCAATGACATATCATACAATTCTTTGACAAAACAAATAATTAATTTGACATAACACAGAGCTGCAGTGTCAGGAAATAAAGGCACTTACACATAACATAAAGAAGAAATGACAGGACGTAAATACAAAGCGACAAAACACATTCAATATTTACACTATAAGACAGTTATGGCGTTCCATAGTACAACATAAGAACGAACTGTAAAAATCAGCTGAAAGGGCTTAATTAATTAGAAAAGCAGAAAAATATCCAACAAAAACACAGACCGGACGTGACTTATGTTGACAATTTCACACTAACAAAATGTTTGTTGGCGTATGGTGATTCTTTTGAATCAATGTATCATCTTTAGTTACGTACGGTTCAATATACTTGTATTGTCTTAATTTTATGAAAAATTCTGTAGCATTGTACTCTTATCGCGGGGACACGTGACTGATATTTACTTCTTGAAAGGTGAACTTTATACATTTATTTCCCTTAGGTCAAGGATAATAACATTAACGGTAACATTTTTGTCTGCACCATATGCGCATTTCGACAATTAATGTCTCTTCAGTGATGATCGAGGCCGAAATATTTGAAATTCCAAAACTTATTAAAAAATGAAGAGCTTAAAAACGAATAGGACAAATCTTAGGGAGATTTGTCCACCCAAGAAAATTCATATTTCCCAAGGGAAATGAAAGTTTTATTCCAAAGCCTATACTTTGTTTACTTCATGAAAATAAAATATTTTCATTAATTGATTTTCGCTATGTTTCTAATCTTATGTGAAAAGAGCGTTTCTACCTTATTTTACTTCATTAATAAATGCTTTATATGTTAAGAAGCAAAACGGCAGATGAGAATACATTTAAAAAAGTTTGGAATGTGAACTTAAAGGTAGAGTAGAACTATGGCCCGGTTGAAAAGGTCATAATAATACGAAGCTGTCAAGTCAAAATAAAGTCAATACATAATTATGTAATAAGATTCAGGTTAGAAAAATCGAAATCGAATACCTCCAAAAAAAAAAAAACAAAAACAAAAAAACCACAGTGTTTGGCTCGTTCACTAAAATCGTTCTTGAAATAATATAAAGTTGATAGATTAAAACTATTAAGAAACAACAAATCTTCAGGGATAGTATTCTCGTTTGTTCCTTAAAACACACACAAAGATAAAACCTAACCTGATAAAAGAGAGGCGGAAGATATCAAAACCAGTCAGTCTTAACTTGAGAATACAGAGCGAAGTTACCTTGTGAAAGTTCCGTATGTATGGTTTCTAGCTTCGCTGTGTATTCTCTAATCTTAAAGATATAGACAAATACATTTACATTAAAAGTGAGAATGGAAATTGGGAATGTATCAAAGAGACAACAACCCGACCAAAGAGCAGAAAACAGACCAACACCACCAATCGGTCTTCAAAACAGCGAGAAATTCCCGCATCCGGAGGCGGGCTTCAGCAGGCCCCTAAACAAAAATGTGTACTAGTTCAGTGAAACATATAAATGAACTAAAATTAAAAAAAAACATACAACACTAACAAAGGCCAGAGGCTCCTGACTTGGGACAGGCGCAAAAATGCGGCGGGGTTAAACATGTTTTTTTTTAGATTTCAACCCTCCCCCTATACCTCCAGCCAATCTAGAATAAACAAACTCACAGCAATACGCATAGTAAAAGTCAGTTCAAAAGAAGTCCAAGTCCGATTGAATGGTTTTGCACGAGATACAAACAATAAACCGGGCAGTTGTATAATTTTATGGCAGTGCCGGTGGATTTTATATGATATTAAAATTATAAAAATAAGTACAAATAGTCAATGTTGTAAATTCTTGTATGATAATAAATGTTCATGTACAAAAATGTAAACATACTAATTATGGCACCCTCAACGGAGTTGGGGTGCCGTATTGTTATTCTACGTTTCTTTTTTTCTTATTTTTTTTCTTCTACTTTTTTTGTCCAGCTTATATCTCGGAATTTTATGAACCAATGTTAATGGAACTATGCAATATTTTTAACCTGTATGTTCAGATTTGCAATAGGGTTATGGCATTTTCAAGATGGCCGCCGTTACCATGGAAACAGCAAATATTTCCGTAAAATCAATATGCTCCAGAGTATTTCAAAAATTTCTAAATGCTCCAAACTTAATAAAACTTTACAAAAATGATAATTAGCATGTGTAGGTGTGCTCTTTGACTTTGGAATTTTCAAAATGGCTGCCGTTACCCTGGCAATGGGGGAAGGGTGCCATCCGTTATTGCTAGCAATTACAAATCTAGTTTTGACAGAATTTCTTAATCAAAAGTTGTAATTTATATACTTTGCAGTAAGTGTGAACTCTCCATGATCGAGTCCATAACTTTCATTTAACTGGTTTTTGGTGATCATATTTCGTAGAGTGCTGTGATGAAAATATACACAAAAATCTCATATTATAAATGATTGAATTCTAAAACCGTAAACATTAGTCATGTTAGTGTACAAATACCACTTATAAATACGATCGTGTCATCATTACCTGGATCTTATGATACATCAATTGTTTACACATGAATGTTATCAGTTTGAACTGCAGATGTGTAAATCTTCATATGACAATGTTGTTTTAAAATGTCTCGAAGATTTTTGTTCCGTTGATTTAATAACAAATAAGTAAGTATAAATATTTTAGACATACTGGTTGCATGAAATGAACACTTGACACAAACAGTTTAATGCGTAAGTTATAATGACTTCCGTGTTCTCCAAAAAGTAAAATCAGAATTAACGACGAAATGTATTGTTTATTGATGAAAAAATGACATCAGTTTTAAAAAATGATGACTATTCTATGTACACAAACTACACATTAATGTACATAAAAATGATTACTTTTTGCAAGACAACCTCGTGTATTAAACAAAGAGTTATTCAATGCCATAACAAAGTTACGCCCATACACCCTAACAGAACTGTATAGCTGTTAACTATGTTTAGAGATAATCAGCTATTATTGACAGACACATCCACTAATCTGATGATTAAAAATTTTCAAGCGTCAGTATTAATTAAAATCCATTTAATATACTTTAGTGACAATGTATCATGTCTCCTCTCCGAAAGGAGATACATCTGATATATCAAACTCAGATGGGTTACATCATTTTAAAATGCTTAATTCAAACTCCTAACTTGTAAATGAAAGAAATAATAGATTCACTAAATAACCCAGAAAAGTATTAAATTTTCAAAGAATTGGATTATAATAAAATTACAGAAAAAGAGATAAATGAAGCAGTCAAATCACTAAAAACTACAAATCCAGATGCTTTGATTCCATAATAAACAAGATGCTCAAGTGCAGCCAATTGTATTCGCTTCAACATTTTGTACATTTTTTTTAACAAAGTGTTAGCAACTGGAAATTTTCTGAAATATTTGGTAAAGGATTTATTGTTCCAGTACATAAAAGTGTATCAAGAGATGACCCCCTCCAATTTTAGAGGCATCACAATAGGTAGTTCTATAGGAAAACTCTTTTAAGAAAGAATATAATAATAGATTAAAAAAGTTTATAACTAAAAGAAATATAGTTGGTCCAGAGCAGATATGATTTTGTAAAGGAAAACGAACTAGTAACCACATGTTTGTACTCAAAACCTTGATTGATAAATATACTGAGCAAGGACAAAAACGGCTCTAAACATGTTTTTGTTGATATTTAAAAAAAAGGCTTCGAAAAGGTTTGGCACTTAGCCTTGATTTTCAAATAAAGGGAGCTCGGATTGAGTAATTTATTTAGTGTAAACAATATTTTATTATGAATTATACAATTACAATATATATTTACATTCACAAAAGGATTCAGAAACAAGCAACAAGTGCTTATGTCAATCTGTCTCCTTGTTAAATTAGATACAATATACACAAATAAATCAAAAATACATGATCTGTTACATAATAAAAATATTCATAATGTCAGTTGAGTTACTTAACATAATGAACTGAAAAAGAAATGAAAAATGCAACTGATAAGATGAAATGCTTACAGGTATATTGTGTGAATTATTAGTTTCTAAACCTTTTAGATTTAATAATGAACCTTTGTACCATGAGAAATAAACTAATGTTTTCTTCATTTGAAATCATATTTGAGCCGTTTAATAGTAATTCTGTGTCCATTGGTAGATTTATTTAGTAGTGTAATTAAAGATATGTATAAAAACTAATAAAAACACACTAACTGAAAACTTCCCATCAGTTATTGATGGGCGTCAATGGGATAACCTTAGCCCTACATTGTTTACACTTTTTATAAAGATTTCTTATTCTAACTGTTACCGAATTTTGACAAACAACAGTATCCTTAACTGTTTAATGTATGCAGATGACTTCATTATGATTTTGGAAACTTCATCTGGACTACAAAACTGTTTGCAGAGTTTTATGGATTATTGTTATAAATGGGTACTGGAAATTAATATGAGAAAACCAAAGTGTAAATCTTTAATAACACAGGAAGAATATCATGGCAAAATTCACATTTGATGGCCAACTTATTCATAATGAAAGAAATATAATCATATTGGCGTTATATTCACTGTCTCAGGCAGATTACAGATGCTATATTCAATGTATATGATAAAGCATTAAAAGTTTTCTTAAAATTCAGAAGCTATTTTAGTTATCTTAAACCTAATTTTAAACTCTTTTACATCTTTTTGACCACAACCTGAAGCCAATTTTATTGTATGGCTCAGACATTTTGGGCCGATTCTCTTCAAATAAATTACAATCAAAAGGGGATAAGTATTTTTTCCAAATGTGTAAAGATTTAATTATTGAAAAATTACATGTGCAATTTTAGAAAATCTCTACCTAGAAGATCAACTAGTCTGGCAGTGATGGGAGAGTTGGGGGTGATAACCCTATCTGTTGAGGTTATTCTTAATATGTCAAAATTTTGGGTCATACTATCAGAACAAAATAACTCCCTCATTAAAGAAGCATTTGAAGAGTCTAAAATTTTATATAAAAAAAAAAACGACAATTGGTTGGGAAACATTTATTCATTATTTAACGGTTTATGTACTACGATGTTTGGAGATATTCAGTCTTTGGTGAATTAGGGATTTTTCGTGAACACTAGCGCTTCTCCATTCTTTTAGTTGTGTCCAAGTAAAATTACTGCTGATCACTGTGTTACACAACCGTGACGTAGGAGTAGGCTGAAAAGGGGAGCTTACTTCTTAAAGTTATAGGCCAAAAAAAAAAAAAAAAAAAAATAACGAAAATTACGACCTTTTTCTATTTTTCTTAGATGTTGGTTAAATCCCCTGCAATATAATTAATATCTAACTTTCCATTGCGAAAAATATAAACCAAATATGAGTTCACACATACAAAACCCAACAAAGAATTATGTTTTTGCTCCCTCCGTTATTTTGAAAGTGTATGTGTGTGTGTGTGTGTCTATGTAAGTGCACTTTTGTGTGTGCGTGGGGTGGAATGGGGGTGAGGGTATTGCTCATACGCACCAAAATAATATATATATATACCTGTCCACTCCAGGAAAAAAAAACATACGCACCAAAATAATTAAAAAACACCCAACAAAACCACACAAAGAAACAAAATAAATAGATAAAAAAGAGAAATTAGACAAACATAAATATACCTGTATAAATATGAAATCAATAAAACAAAAACAAAATATATCAATAAAAAACTGTTTCTCTTTTTTTGTAAGGGGAATAAAATGTACTGAAATTGATGGATTTTTTCTTGTTATAAATTTTTGGATCCACATATTTTAGAAATCAAATTTCATTAATGCAATATTTGGGTATATTCAATGTTTTTATTTTCAATCCCAATGTCCAAAAAGGGTGATAGTTTATTTGACGTTGAGACTGATTTTGCGCTATCACAATTCAACATGAACAAAATACTTGAAGAAAATATTAGATATAAACTAGGAAGGTTTTAGCGTAGCTACTAAACAAATTTAACCGTGGAGTTTGTACGTGAAATCATTTTATGGTTACAATTACTCTTGAAAATAGGCAAATTACACTGTGGGGTTTGTACATGGAAACATTTTATGGTTACAATTACTCTTGAAAATAGGCAAATTCGTAGCCACTTTATTTCATTTTAGCATTTTCGGACATAGTGAGCTTTTACATAAGTAGAAATTTGCGAACACTGTTCATATAATTTATATTTATAAAAAAACAGGTAATTTAGTCATACGGTGTACGATAAAGTACCTTTGAACTCGCTGAATGCATGAGTGACTCTACTCACAAAATGTGTCTGTGCAACAACTGTTAACGTACTATTTTTCTATTGATATACTTGTTGCAAAGTCGCACAAAGGTAAATGCTCAAGTGAAACGTGATCACTACTTAATTAATTTGATATAAAAAGTGGACATGCACTATACACCGAAGTCTGCAGAAAATACCATTTGTTAGATACTGACAAATTGAAATTGAATTAAAATTTAACCTTCATAAATATGCATGTCACAATTTTACACCAGTGACTCGCATGGAATACATGATATTATGAATTGTCTAATCTCAATTCATATACACCGATATTTATTTATTGTTTATTATAGGATTATCTGCCAATTATTGTTTTATAAAATGTTGAGCTATTAAAAATACTTAGGGTTATCTACTCCCAGGCATAGATACCATTAGTTGTAATGGGTAGAACTTTGGAATGTTTTATTATCAATGCTCTTCAACTTTTTATTTGATTTAGCTCACTCATGAGTCCTGGTAGACGTCTGGCGTTACACTCATTTTGAGTATTGATTGGTTTTGTGGTAAATAGTATTATCATTCACAGCATTACTACTTATCGCATAATAAGCAACTATAAAAATAAACCACATCAAATTGAAAAAGAGAAACTAAGAATAAAGCTCACTAAATTATACATCATGCTCTTGCATGCCTTGTAACGTCAAGAATAAATCCGAAACCGGGAGTATAATAAGAACATTGATATATTAAGGATAAGCGTTTGTTTGTACATTACATATATCATGTAAATATAACAGCTTTTATACATTAAACTGAAATTGAAATCTGTCATAAGCATTTTTTTCAAAACAGTCCAAGCAATAAACAAGTTCAGTTGTGTTTTCAACAGCAGGTTTCATATGAGGAAGTATATAGCATGGAAACCGGCAGTAACTTTTCATGTGCATTGCTGTACACAAGTTTAAGGCAGTTAACTATTTCAAAATCAGTTGAACGTTTAAATCAAATACTATAAGTAAAAAGAAATGAGGCTTCTCCATGTCCAAAATTAGTGTTTGTCAAACTAACAAATATCCAATGAAATTATTCTTGTAAATTGGGTGGTTTAAATTTCTTGAATTATTTCTATTTTTGTCAACAGATCAGTGTAAATATTGGGTCAAAATTTATGAAAATTAAACGAGCCAAATTTATTTTATTCAAAACGTTGGGTACCCTCTTAACATACTTTTATACGGTTCTTTTTAGATAATCATTTAACCGTTTGACTTGGAAACACTTAATACAAGCAATGTTTGTCTAGATGTTTATTTACGATATTTTAAGGTTTAGCTGTAATTTACGTGATGTCCGAATCAATTTAACCAATTTATAGTATCAAATATTTTTCTTTATACTAGGACTTTATATCCTGAAAATTCCTATTTTTTCTAATGTCGTGCAGTAAGTCATGATCCAAAGCAAGCTGAACATGTTGAATACTGCCAAAAACACAGAAATGAGGAAGATAGCAAAGCAAACAAAATCTTAAAACCAGGTAATAATTGTATAAGTCTTATATGAGTATTAGTACCAGATATATATACTGTGAAAATCTTATATAAGCACAAAAAGTTCGTCGAGTATTTAGATACCGTCCTATTTCAATTTAGGGTAGGATGTAATTCCTTCGTACCTTTTTTAATAATAAAGAGCGTTTACTTTGCATCCTGTCAATCAAATCTAGCCTTAATATTTAAAAAAAATATTTCTTTACTTCTATTTACAGGTCTTTTCAAAATTAAGCAATGTATCTCCCCGGAAATTTGCACCGTTAATGATATTTTATTTATATTCTTATTTTTCTCCGATCTTGACGAGAATGATAAAAAATACATTTGTTTTGGGTATATTATGGGGCACGCTATGCTTCGTGTTTTTAGCATGTATATGTTCTACAGAATATCTGTGTTTCGCTTGTATAAATACGTGAAATCAGTTTATATATAAACTGTTGTACAAAAAGTTATATGCGACAACTAATGTTGCTTACGAGTCTTTCGACTCTTAAAATAAGATGTATTTAATTTATATGATTTTATATACACAACATCAGTCAACAGTTAATATCAAGGTGGTGACATCAAATTAAATACAACAAGGACGGATTCAAATACTTATGATTTATCCAGAACGGAAAACAACTCAGTACATTAGTTTCACCTTCCCCGTGCATTGTATCGTTTTCGATATTTTCTCAGAACTAATATATTATATCGACTGTTATATGTTTGGGCAGTTTCTGGATTATATTCTGTAGAGTTATATTTAATAAGCTTACATCTTTATTACGTAAAATGTAAATTACAGCAGGGAAAAGTAAAATGTTTTGTCAATTACATGTTAGGACACTCAGCGTACGATACAATATATATTATCTTCCATCCTATTCAGAACTAGATCTGTTCCCAGTATACAGCCCAGCCCACAAAATGATAACCATATGAAACAATGAGCAATGACAAAGTCTATTATAGAACACTCAAAATAATTCAGATCATATAAAAAATAGGAAGTGTATATGTGGAATGGGATTATATAGGTAAGATTCAGAGAAAATGTCTATAAGGTTATTTATAAGGATTAAAGATGAGAAGTTGCAGACAAAAAAATTGGTATCCCTGAATTAAGCTATAGCAAATTCCGAGATACGTTGAGAGGAACCAATAGTGTACGGATTTGAGAAATGCCATGTCCGTGTAAACCTTTTTTAAAATGAGTTTTAAAAAAACTGATAATAAAAAAGTTCATTTCAAACAATATACAACGCTGATATTGTAAAGGGAGGACTTACTATGAATTTTCTTTAGCATAAAATCATAATAATGATGGAAAATATATGCAAAGAACAAAAATGCGTTGTAAGAATCAGATGATGCTTGAATTCTGAACACTTATGTAATATATAGTATATTGGTTCAATTAACCAAGGTTAAGTTTATGGTTTGAAGAACTATTATGCTGGTTACGAATTGGACACCCTAAGAGAGGCGAATGATACCAAATTCATAAGTCGAAAATTAACTGACAAAGCCATTGCAAAAAAAAAAGAAAGAAAAAAGACCAGAAGAAAAAATATCAGGGCTCAAAACACAACATAGAAAAACCAAAGACTGAGTAACTCGAACTCCAACAAAAAAGGGGGTGGTCTTAAGTTACGGAAGGGTAAGAAGATCCTGCTCCACATGTGGCACCCGTCGTGTTGCTCATGTTAGTGTGTCAAACTTGAATGTTGGTAAACATATTGTAAACGCTTTGCTATATCGTAATACTTTTATATAGGTGTGGATATCATTCTGCATGTGACTTATCCACCCTTATCAAAAGGTTCGAACCCCCGGCACGTCCCCTGAATTTACCAATGATTCATATATTGTGGATCTCGTGTACAAATTTTTATATCTAACATATATTTTTTTCATTTTAATATTTATATTTTATTTTATATTATTTCATTTTTGGAAACAAACATAAATAATCAAAAAAATATCAAGGCAATTGACTTATATAATTTATTACTAAATCGAGTCTTCATGCAAACTATGAAGTATATAATTAAATATAAGCTATTGCCACAACTCTCTGCATGAGGGGTCCATATGTAGCAGATTGGAATGCAAACTTTCTGCCCCTGTGTTTTAGATCGACCATTTGATTTTCTTTAAGGATAAGCAGGAGGATTTATCAGGAATATAATAGACCTTTTTCATATTACCGACTTTTGACTTCGGAGTTTATATTTTTTCGAGGTTACCTACTCTGTGGTAAGACATCCTGGTACTCGGTGAAGTAAGAGCAACATAAAAAAGTAAAATCAAGCTTTTAATCGATATAATTTATGGGGAAAACTACACTGCTTTATATTTTCTTAACACGAGAAAACTTCCCCTCAAATTGCACGGATTATGTGTTTGATTTTTCTTCTTTTGGTTGCTCTTACTTGACCGAGTACCAGGATGTCTAACCACAGAAAAGATAACTTGTCGAAAAATTATATAATCCGGAGTCAAAAGTCGGTAATATGAAAATAGTCTATTGAGATGTTCGTTTGTTGGATGGCGATCTTATCTATTTCAGAAGTACTTATATTTCCTTTGCCTTTTAATTTTTAGGTTTGAGCGTTCTTGATTAATAGATATCAGAAGATGTGGTATGAGTGCCAATGAGACAACTCTCCATCCAAGTAACAATTTATAAAAGTAAACCATTATAGGTCAAAGTACGGTCTTCAACACTGAGCCTTGGCTCACACCGAACAGTAAGCTATAAGGGCCCCAAAAATTACTAGCGTAAAACCATTCAAACGGGAAAACCAACGGTCTAATCTATATAAAAAACGAGAAACGAGAACACTTATGAACCACATCAACAAACGACAACTACTGAACATCAGATTCCTGACTTAGGACAGGTGCAAACAAATGCAGCGGGTTTAAACGTTTTAATGGTACCAAACCTTCACCCTTTTTCCGAAACAATAGTGTAACATCACAACATAGAAAGACACACTATAAAATATCAACTGAAATAAGTTAGTTAAAGGTGCATCAAAATTATCAAGTAAGATTTCCGTTACCTGGCAGGGCAGGAAAAAGAAAAGTAGAATACAATGTCTCTTCCTAGAACATTATTAGCTAGCTATAAAACCAGGTTCAATCCACAATTTTCTACATAAGAAAATGCCTGTACCAAGTTAGGAATATGACATTTGTTATCCATTCGTTTGATGTGTTTAAGCTTTAGATTTTGCCATTTAATTAGGGAATTTCCGTTTTGAATTTTCCTCGGAGTTCATTATTTTTGTGATTTTACTTTTTACAAAAAACTGAAAAATAAATGCAACTTATCGACAGGTCATAAACGACCAATTTAAAACTTTGTTTTATGACCATTTCTTTTTTAAACAGCACATAATATAAATGATTTCATTATTCCAGAGTCTGAGATACAAAACAAAAAACATGTTAGGAATAGAAAACGATATGAACGAAAAGATAATGATAGGGGGTTTGGTTATATCCAAACAAGCGAATAAGTTTACAGAGGTTTGCTTGCCTTTTTAAAAAAAAATTGAAAAGTTACCGTACCAAATGTTACACGTGAATTATGTAAAATTAGTTATACAACCTTTGTGTGTTATTTATTATTATTTTCTTTTTGTATATATCATTTAAAGACAACAGTATGACGAACACACTCTGAAAGGACAAAACAGTGTGTTGAAAAAGACAGAGACATGCTACCTGATATGTAATTGGAAACTTTATCCAGAAAAACATGGCTACCAAAGAAGAGGATAATTTTCTTCGCGTTGTTTACTTAAACTATCGAGTAGGAACAACAGCGCTAAGGAGGTATTTTGACAGTGTCCATTCTAATTTGCCATCAGATCTGTCATCTCCACCAAATAAGGCAATACTTTCAAGCCTGTACAAACCCCCTAGAGGACAAAGGAGAGTATTGTACCAGGAGCAATGGGATATTTTATACCCTCCTACAGGTAATTTACTTTAAAAAAAAATGATTAAAATAGTCGTCGAAAAGAATCAATTTTACCATGCCGTTATCCAATCACAGTAATTGATAATAAACACTTGCTATTGGTAAAAACGTGTGTATTATTATCATAAGTCGTAATAGGAGCACAAAATTTAAAATTTACCTCGTTTATCTATTTAGTTACCTTAGAAGAGATACAAATGAAATAAAATAAAATGTATGTTTACTCCTGTAAGAAAGACCCTATACAAAAAGGTTTTTTTGGCAGTAGAAACTCTTTAAAACCAGACCTAACTCCCACTGCCTTGGATGCTTTTGAATCTTCTCATAACCAAATTTAGCCTTTTCTAGCGGACACACTTGACAAATACCAAGTTAAAAAGGTTTAAAATGGATAATTAATTAGGAAATCCTTGGATTATCACTTAAGCCTTTGTGAAGGAAAAAGGTGAAGAAAACGATGAAATATTTTATTTTTATACTTTTTTGTAGGGGCACCTGTAGTTTCTTCTGCTAATTTAGATGTCACCTTAATGATTTGTCTTCTACGAAATTTACCACCAAAGGTCCCTCAACCAACACCGAATGGATTTGATGCCTTACCACAATCTAGTGATTTGTCTTATGGTGCTCACATAGCTCGTATAAAATATTATAAAAATTTCATTGTTTCGCATTCAAAGGATGGCAAACTATCCGATACTGATTTCAACACAATATGGATTGATATGGATATGGTATGATTATTTCATCTTTTAACCTTTTTCAGCAGGTGTTACGCAACGAACACATTTTATATTGCGCCATTATGACGCCAGGGATGAACACACCAAATACGATAACGATCACACAGTAAAAATGACTATAATCATTTCTACAATTTTGCTTTGATCGTTTTTTGTGACAATTTTTCATTTTACGCTTATCGAGTGGGTTTTTCTCAGTCGTGTAGAAAGAGAATACATTTCGTCATTCGTCTACGCCATTGGCGTTGCCTAAGAAAAAATCGACAGATTTTCAATTGTCTTTAGTACTCGTTGGTGTTTCTCGGCTACAACTCATGTTAGGGCTGTTGCCTATAAAAATCGAAGTCAAATATTCAAATTTCGCAACCTAATACAAACGTTAAAGATCGGATCAAACCAAAAAAGATTTAAAATATAGATAAATTCTATATATAGACATTACTAAGTTCTAACTTACAAACATTTCGAAACACTAAAGAATTTCTACACAAGGATAAATTACCTGAGTTGTATTTGGCAATGCTGGTATCTATGTTTAGTTTATTGGAAGTTAGAAACGCAAATTCGGAACTGAGAATGTCAACTTTGAACTGATAATTGTCAATTTGTAACTACACAATTCATCACAATTCATATCCAACTGGCTGGAGTCACATCAATGGTCGGATGCATATAGAGGCAAAAAGAAGAGATTTTTTTGCAAGTCAAAAATGGGCTCATTCCATCGTTAATAAACCAAACAGACTGCTATCAAAATATTATTCAATGTTACGTTCTTATAAAGTTTGAAGGGGCCTCGGTGGCCGAGTGGGCTAAGTAGTTAATACACTAATCACTAGCCAGTCAACACTGAGGTTGTGAGTTCGAACCCCGATCGTGCGGGTGCACTCGGCTGCAATCTTAAATGACTAGGATTGTCAGTTTTCCTATCGACGGTCGGTGGTTTTCTCCGGGCACTCCGGCCTCCTCCACCAATAAAAACTGGCCGCCACGAAATAGCCCAAAAGCGGTGCGTTAAAACACCAAAAATCAAAAATCAAAATCTAAAGTTTGATGATGCCAAATCAAAGTTATCTAAATAGTTATGAAAGGTACCAGACTTATAATTTAATACGCCAGACGAGCGTTTCGTCTACATAAGACTCATCAGTGACGCTCAGATCAAAATAGTTTTAAAGTCAAACAAGTACAAAGTTGAAGAGCATTGAGGACCCAAAATTCCAAAAAAGTTGTGCCAAATACAGCTAAGGTAATCTATGCCTGGAACAAGAACATCCTTAGTATTTCGAAAAATTCCAACTTTTGTAATTAGGAAATTTATAAAAATGACCATATAATTGATATTTATGTCAACACCAAAGTGCTGACTACTGGGCTGGTGATACTCTCGGGGACGAAGTTGCTTCACTGTCATAGTCGAATTAAATGCATGAAGATCATGTTAAAGAAAACTTTTAGTCATATTTCTTTTATTTTGAAAAATATAATTTTTATGCATGCTCTAATTATATTCTTAAGGCCATTAATGGTTTAGGAAACCAACAAGATATTACAGATGCGGCTGACGCCAAAACTAAAGTTTTAGACTTCAAAGCCATTATGGAACACCTGAATCTTAGGATGGGTATTCATCGAAATCGCAAACGATCAGTCGAGCACGCTAGCAAAATAGCAAAACTAGAAACAACTGTTGAAGACATGGGAAAAGGTAACGGGTAATAAAAATTGTTTCATAATAGATCTTGGTGCAATACAAAGACATTACACAATTACCGTTCTTTCTATGGGCAATTTTTTTATACGCAACATTTTTGGAAAAGCAACAACTGGTAGTACATTTTTACCAGTTAACAGTTTATATACAATCCTTATAATATGTCCGATCAAAATTCCTGATTCATAATTATTTAATTAGACATTTTAGGTCATGTACTATTGGGAATAAACTCATTTCGATAACTTTCTAAAGTGACTTTTCCAATTAAATTTTATTCATATCAGTTGTTGTATTAAGAGGGTACCCAACACTTTGACTTAACTAGATTTGGCTCGTTTAATTTTCATAAAGTTTTGACAAAATATTTACTCTGACCTGTTATAAACTAAATGACTAGAAATTTGAACCACACCATTTACAGGAATAATTTGGTTTGATATATAGCAGTTTGACTAACACTAATTTTGATCGATGAAAAGCTTGATGTCTCCTTACTAATAGTATGTTATTAAAACGTTCAGCTCATTTTCAAGAGTTAACTCCCTTAGGTGTTCTGTACCCCTTAAATATACTGTTTATGCATGATTTTCAGTGATACGTTGGTGTGAGTTTAGATGATACTCTTCAACTTCGTAGTTTTTTCGGCCTTTTAAAATTTTTGAATCGAGCGCCACTGTGATTCATTTAAAGAAGAAACGTGCAACTGGCGTACATAGTTCTAATTCTGGTATTATGATGAGTATAGCAAGTTACAAAACAAGCCTGATATTAACAAAAAGTGTTTAGTCTTTTTATAGATGCTTTTTTTTTTACTTGTTTTACAAGATTTGTTAATATGCTTTCATTCTTTTTTCTTAGTTGAGCAATCAAGTGCAGAAAATGCTAGCAAAATAGCAATACTTGAAACAACGGTTGAACAGATTGAACAAGGTAATATCAATAGTTTTCCAATCGAGCTTGGTGCATAATAAAGTCATTAGATATTATCGTACATTCTTTTTGTCAAGCCTTTTTTAAAATGCAGCATTTTCTTATCAGTTAATTAACAACCGCAATACTAAAACCAAGCAATTTCTTTCAATTGCCCATATAAAGACATTTCAGGTCATGAACGATTGAAAATAATCAGTACTGACCTTATTCGTATAATTATCTAATGTGAAAAATTAGGGACAATAATGCATGTTTTATACAAAATGCGACTCTAGCTAATTACATTACCATCTTGGTGTTAGTGATGTGTGTGTAGCCTTTTCCAGAGTTTTTTTTTACTTTTTTATGTTGATTTTTGAATATATTTTTGTTCTTTTTACTAAGACTTTATAAATGAGAGAAAGAGTTAGCGTGTCCATTGTATTTACATCGTTATTTTCAGAGGTAAAGTCTGGAAAGAAAGACGTCGATGTCAGTAGTCCAAAAGGTGAATACTATCTATAGAAGAATATCAATAAAAGTTTGAAATGGATCTAACATAACTTGAACATTTAAGTGGTTTTTTTCGGTGTTGGCTTGATTTAGAAGGTAGATTTGTTGGGTATTTGGTCTAGCTTATTTATTTTAAATGGTATTAAAGAAAATTTTCCATCTGTCCGTGGAAATACCTTTAAATTTTTTCTCATCATTAGTCGGTCGTTTGCTCTCACCATCGAATAAACATTTTAATTTTATTATGATTATTCAGTCTTTCCTACTTACCATGCAAAGAACTTTTAGTTTTGCATTAGTTATAAGTTTTTTTTCTTCCCCTCCTTTTTTTAATTGTACAATATGTTGGTTGCTAGATATTTGGCAGATGATACTCACCAGATATTGCGCTTTTGAAAATTGAAATATGTTTAACCGAACACTGTTTTCTTTTTACTTGTATTCACATGGTAAAAACGTCGAAAAAAATTATATGCATTTCTATACAGTTAAACATATTTATGATGCTACATCCTGCCGATACTTATATTTCGGTCTCGTACATTATAGTGTTTTGTTTTTAGACTGTTAATGACATAATTACACTAAATAATTGGCTTTGAACTAGCTATAATTGTATACGAGTACTCTTTTTTTGTGTCTTAAAATTTTTGTTGTTAGTTTTTTTTTATGCCTTTTGTCGGTTTGACGAGTCAATACAAAAATTAGATGTGGTATTATTGCAAATCAGACTACAGTCCATCAGAGACCAAATGACATAGAAGTTAACAACTACAGGTCACTGTACGCCTATTCTACCAATTGTACAGATTGTTGTTATGTTTTGCTCATTGTTAAAGTCCATACAAGTACTATAGATGCTTGCATCTACGTAATGTTTTTCTTTGGTAGATAGTTTTATCAATGTCATGTTTACAACATCTTCTTGTTTTTGAATAAAATTTGTATTCCTCTGGCAACAAAATGGATATTATCTTGAAGAATACAGAATAATATTGCTATTCTTTGGAAATAGCTGCTAGTATAACACCTTATATAGATATAAAAAGATGTGGTATGAGTGCCAATGAGACAACTCTCCATCCAAGTAAAAATTTATAAAAGTAAACCATTATAGGTCAAAGTACGGTCTTCAACACGGAGCCTTGGCTCACACCGAACAGCAAGCTATAAAGGGCCCCAAAAAATACTAGTGTAAAACCATTCAAACGGGAAAACCAATAGTCTAATCTATATAAAAAACGAGAAACGAGAACACTTATGAACCACATCAACAAACGACAACTACTGAACATCAGATTCCTGACTTAGGACAGGTGCAAACAATTGCAGCGGGTTTAAAATTTTTTAATGGTACAAAACCTTCACCCTTATCTGAAACAATAGTGTAACATCACAACATAGAAAGACACACTATAAAATATCAATTGAAATGGCTCAACTCAATCAAAAGACATATTAACACCAGTGAACATACACTGAACGAATAAATTTGATCTATGATACAATGTAAATACAAAATAAATAAAATAAGGGAAGAATAATTTAAGTAACATGTTAAAATGTTAAACAATTTAAGAAAAACAATATGCTTGAACAAAAAAGTTAGCCATTTGCAATTACTTTAAACACAGGTAAATTAATTTGTTTATCAGGTGCTTTTACGGAATTTAAAGACAAACTCATACATTCAACAATACTCGACAAAGAGGTTTTGGATAACTTCATTTCTAAATGCATTCTGTTACTGGATGACAGAGAAGAAATTATTAACTGTAGAAACCAATCATCACGGAACAAAAAACTCTTACAAATACTCATACGTCGACCATACAACACCTTCAGTGCACTTGTTGAAGCAATGCAAGGATCTGATCAAAAGTGCCATACTTTACTTCTTGCCAAAATGGAGGCCAAGGTCGCAGACAATGTTATGACTTTACAAAAGGCACCACACAAAGATGGCTTAGCAGGTAACCTTTATTTCAACTGAATAAAAAGCTGGTTAATAACAGATAGAAGTTGTCAAAGTATTAACCAAATTGCACTAAAACAAAAGCATTATTATGGTAAATTGTTTTTACTGTAAATATGATACGGCTAGATTAACAAAATGCCTTTTTGTTTTTTTATGCTCTCAACATGCTGAAACGATTGATATTTTGACTTTTTCAAACTCTTTTGGCAGAGTATACATGATGACTAGTTAAAATTCTGTACACAACAGTTGAATAAAACAGTTTGCAACAATGTGCAATAAAAATTTGATTGTCGCTGAGATTTGGCCGACAGATAAATGTATCCAATGCTGTGATTGTTCTTAAAACGACGTAAGTTGTATTTCATTTTCCCTGCAGTAGGTTGCCCTTCATTGTTCAAGTTTCAATAAATTTGACATTTTCGGCTATATCAGCGGTTTTATCAGCTCTTCAACGTGCGTTTTAGGTTTGATGGAAGTTTCAAATAATTTTGCTCAATTGTCAGTGAAGATGTTTCAATTATCGAAATGCGCATCCTGTATTTGATGTTGCTACTTATCTTATAGTCGTCTTTCATCAGCTTTTTGTGTATTTTGCAAGATAAGTAAGCTGAAATTATTGAAACATTGACCAACATGAGGGTCATCCATTATGACACTTTATGAGTCATTCTAGAGATACATAAATACAGTGGTTTGTTATCGTACCGGCAGACAAATCAGCCAATAATGTTATGGTGGTGCAACGCATATACTACACGAAGTTATAAATTCTTCTTCATGCAGGTCCGTACGATTCACAGATAGTCAAATTGTAAACAAGCGTATCACTGCCACTACCCAGCTTAAAGCCTTTTCCGAACATTTTAAAGTCCCGACTTTGTACTGGTTACCTAAATTACACAAACAACCATTCAAATTTCGTTTCATCCCCGCATTTAGTAAGTGTTCTACTAATTATATGTCAGTGCTTTTAACTACCTCCCTTACTACTATCAAAGAACTTGTTTTTAACTTTGTAATAAAGATTATGAAAATAATGGTATTTATTATTTTTGAGTGTTAAAAATTCTTTGGAGGTGTTAATTAAAATACGTGCTTTTGATGGTCCTTTTAATTCTGTTGACAGTTATGATTTATATACTCTCTACACTTCTTTTCCACACAATCTTATCAAGAAAAGTTTTAATATTTAACTCAATGGTCATTTGAAAAAAATTCATTGCAAATTTATTTGCTGTAACTCGTTTAAAGCTTTTTCTGTAACGAAAAAGGAAAGTATGCTAGATACACTTACTGGAAATGTGAAGATACGATTGATGCTTCCAATTTTCTTCTGGACAACATATATGTACGTATCGCCAGATAGTAGGTATTCCTATAGGTAATAAATGCGCCCCTTTTAATAGCAGATTTATTCCTGTTTTGCTATGAATCACGGTTTATGATCAAACTCAGTAAGGACGTGTCATTGTTATATTTGGTTGACACATTCAACAATACCTACCGTTATCTTGATGATATTTTTTAGATTGCCTCAACTAAATGATATGAAACTTATACACAATGTTTATTACCACAAAATACAGATCAAGTTTGAATTTTGGTGGTGTCACTTTCACCGTTCTAGAGTTATGTCCCTTTGCAAATGGAAAAATTGCTGAATTTTTCGTTTCAATTCTCTAACTTAAGTTTGCCTCAACCAAATGTTATGACACTTATACAAAATTGTTATTATCACAAAACTCAGATCAAGTACAAATTTGGGTAGCGTCACTTTTAACGATTTTCAGTTATGTCCCTTTATAATTTTATATGATAGGCAAGCGGGGGCGTCATCTGTGTCCCATGGACACATTCCCCATTTATTAAAAATATTTCCGTACTCCCAACAACAAAATGATAATATTATATTTTACCTGTGTACGTTATTTTATTTAACCCCATTTTGTCCCAGGTTAGATTTGTTTTTTTGACATTGTTCTAAATCTTTTTTTTTAATTAATTTTGTATTTATATTGTGTCATAGATCAAATTAAATCGTTCAGTGTATGTTTACTTGTTTCTGTCTATATCTTTTTTATCGAGTTAAGTCATTTTAATCGATATTTTATAGTGTGTCTTTTTATGTTGTAATGTTATACTACTGTTTCAGGTTAGGGTGAAGGTTGGCGCCTATTAAAACGTTTAAACCCGTTGCATTTGTTTGCATCTGTCCTAAGTTAGGAACATGTTCAGTGGTTGTCGTTTGTTGATGTGATTCATAAGAGTTTCTCGTTTCTCGTTGTTTATACAGATTAAACCGTATGTTTTCCTGTTTGAATTGTTTTACACTAGTCATTTTGTGTCCCTCTATAGCTAGCTGTTCGGTGAGAGCCAAGGCTCCGTGTTGAAGGCCTCACTTTAACCTATTATTGTTTACTTTACACATTGTGACTTTGATGGAGAGTTTTCTCATTGGCACTCATACCAAATCTCCTTATTTCTATATACAGTTATAGTTATAATGTATTTTATTTCAGATATAGAGACGCAGACCATTAAATTGATTAAGTGGTATAACACAATAGTCCATGAAATTGACATTGATAAAACTGGAATTCTAGACAAACTTCAAGATGTTTTAAGTGAAGAAGATTATGCAGAAATGACATCAATAAATATTTCTCCACAAGACAAAAATAGAGGAATTTTAGGAAAAATCATTAAAAACAATACTTCCTCTGCCTCTAAAATCTTCCTTGAAGTTCTCAAAGAAGATAGCTGTTATAACGAATATGCTACGAGAATAGAGGAAACAGATGTTACACAATTCGACCTCGAGTTACTGAGTATTGGTAGGTCAACAAACTAAATATTTCTTAGTTATAACAAACAAAAACTAAACTCAGATTTTTATAAACTATTTTTACAACAATGTTACTTGACAGTTTCTTGGTACTTGATCTAAAAAACCCTCTGGTTATTCAAAACATAAAAAATGGTCGTCTATCAGTTAAAATTATAAATAAAACAGTATTTTGTATGCATTTTAATAGCAACATAAGTCTTTTATGTCATTTTCATTTTTTTGCTATTCCTATGTATTAATATACGTTAATATATATTTCAATTCTCATGAAGGAAAACAATTGAGAGAAAGAAAGATAAGAAAAAAAGAAAGAAAAAGAAGAAAAAAAAATGGATTGACTGGTAAATATAATTTTGAAATATTTTCATTCCAATATATATGTATTTGTACAATGAATGCTTGAAATAATGTATGTTATGCAATTATGCCAATTAACGAACTATCCTCAAATTAACGCATTTTGTGTTACTACAAATTCGTTCTGAGGTACTTGATTGTATTAGCAACAACTGCAAGTTATTATTTACTAGTTCTTGCTGAACATAACGCAAATTTTGGTGCAATTAGTAAAACACGATCAGCGTATCATTCCGTATAACTTTAGTTCAGACCGGTTTCTGTTGCAGAATTATAAGTTCTTTATGTACAATTGTGTAGACTTTTTGACGTGTTACTTTTTGACTATGGTAATGTCGTTTTTTTTCGACTGTTATGAGCTGTACTTGTACAGACTGTGTCCTTTGTCCTTTTATGACATTATAATTGCGTGTTGATTTGCATGACGGGTGAAGCATACATATCATGAGACGGGTATCCTGTTGCATTTCGTCTCACCCCAGTTTGATTTATGCGGTTCCTTAAATATTTGTTTTGTATATTTGATTTGTGTTATCAAAATGAATTTGCGAAACTAAAATATCGACAAACTAGTGAGTCATGATTGCTATTCGTGGCTACCATTTTTTATTGGTTGAAGAAACCGGAGTGTCCACAGAGAACCACCGACCTTTGGTAGAAATACGGAAAATCATAGTCAATAAAGAATGGAGTCGAATGCACCTGACATGAGTGTGACTCAAAATCACAACATCAGTGTTGTCGGGAAAGTGATACAAAAATTGGACTACTTAGAACACTTGGACACCGAAGACCATCCTCTAATTAAGGGTTATAATTTAGCTCCTTGGTATCTTTTCCATCTTTTTATATGGCAAATAAAAGATAATTAAAACAATTGATTTATATCTTATCATTCTCCATATTATTAACCATGGTTTGCTGTTCTCATTTGAAACAAAACAATATGTACACCAGGTTAACTATTTTGACATGAATGACATTAGTTGCTAATATATTTTGAGTTTATGTCATTTACGAAGTATAAAATGTTTCAGTTGTTCATAAACATTTATTTATTACAATAAGTAAAGATGTTAAATTAAAATTATTGTTGATAGTACGATAAAAAAAGTAATACGCTTCATTTTTTTTCATTACCAACATAGATTTAATGATTGATAAAATAGAAAAATGGAAAATGGATGACAGTCTTTATATCGAAACCAGAGCGACTAACTATGTTTTTACCTGTGTCAACAAATACTCCTGTGTAAGCGTAACAGGACCATCTGGATGTGGAAAAACGGCTCTTGTTCGACATGTTGCTCTCCAACTGGAACAAAATGGATACACAGTACTAACTGTGATCGACGCAAAAGATATAACAGATAAGTATAAATCTGGCAGAAAAACATTGTACATTGTTAATGACATGTGCGGAAATTTTACTGCGAACCAAACTCGGTAAGAAGAATGGAAGAAATCAATGAATGACTTAAAAAGTATTCTAGAATCCGGCAATTGTAAATTGATTTTAACTTGCAGGCTTCAAGTTTTTCAAGATAAGGGGTTCGAAAATTTAGATATCTTCAAAACATGTGAATGTAACTTAACCGCTGAAGATTTAGCTTTAACATTCATTGAAAAAGAGACCATGACAGCGCAGTATTTTGGGGAACATGCTTTACAAGGATTAAAACACTTAGGAAAATATGAGTTTCTTCCACTTTTATGTAAATTTTATTATGTGGAGAAAAACAATCCACAATTTAAACTAGACATGTTTTTAAATGATCCATTTTCATTTTACAAATATGATTTGACTCATATGTTTAACGACTGTAATGAAGGTAAGTACAAATACTGTGCTCTGCTTTTGTTAGTTATCTTCAACAACGAGTTAGAGGGGAAGGAGATTACAGGTAAGGATCCTAAAATTCTGAAGATAATAGAAGACATTATAGAAGTATGCGACATAGATGAACATATAACAGGTAGGAAACTAAAGACCCAGATTGACATACTGATAGGAATATTTGTGACTTATGATGAAGGCATCTACCAAACTATCCATGACAAGCTTTTTGATTTCCTAGCTTTTTATTTTGGAACGCAAGAAAAATTTATAGACAAATTAATTGAACATGCCAAAGACAGATTTATTCGTGAGAGATTTGTTGTTACCGATGACAATGAAAGTATACATTATGCAATACCTATTTCTAACTTCAAATTGCAATCAATGTACATGAAAAGGGTGTTTGACGATATTGTTATCTCTTGTAATGTAAATACAAACATAGTAGAAAATGAAAATTTTAAGAATGTAAAATTCCGCACTATGCTCCTTAATTTCATGAAACATCTTTCCAAACATGAAATAACTATCTTCATGGAAAAAGCAAACAGTCATTTTCTAAATACCATGTTTGTCATGAAAAATAACGCTATCAAAGACAAGGTTAGAGATATTTCTCAGGAATATGAATGTTTTGGTATTATTTTACCTGGTGATATGTTACAACAATACATTGAGAAATGGGTTGGTGCTTTGATAAGGTCTAATTCCACAGAGGAGTTTTTGGAGGAGAATAGGCTTATGAAATGTGTTACATTTCGTTCTGCCTTGAAATTCTACATGAGACAAATAAACGTCGCTTCCACCATTAGGACAGGAAGTACAGATTTCCTCAATACAATGTTTGTCATAACAGAAGATGATACGAACGAATTTGCTCAGAAACACAATGAACGGTTCGGTATTGTTATTCCTAAGAATTTGTTACAGCATTACATTGACAGGTGGTTTGATGATTTGACAAAACACGTTGGGAGCAACATATTAAGGAATAATAGTGGAATGGATTACTTGCATTCAGGTACGCATAAAACATTGATGCTTGATGAATTCATGGACAAAAATAGGCCATTGACGCATCTTTCATTTCGTATTGCCCTTCGTACCTACATGAGACAGCTAACCACAGACAAAATTGCTTCACTCATTCATACAGCAGAGGATGCTTTCCTCAATACTATGTTTGTCATGAAAGAGGAGGATATCAACGACAACGCTGAGAGTCGATATAAATGGTTTGGAATTGTTATTCCTGATGAAATTTTACAGCAATATATTGAAAAGTATTTTCAACGACTGACAAACGTATATAGCGTGGTAACAGACATACATATAAATAGAGCATTGAAAAACATAAAAGTTCGCACTGCCCTACGTACACACATGAAACAGCTTACTAGAGAGGAAATTGCTTCACTTATTCAAAATTCAGTGCATATTTTTTTCAATACAATGTTTGTTATGACAGAGGAGGACATACACGATAGCGCTCAGAACCAATTCGCATGTTTTGGTATTATTATTCCTGATGATCTATTACAGCAATATATCGTGAGATGGTTTGATGAATTGACCAAAACACATTCTGTAGAAGACGCCATAGGGCAAAATAGACCACTGCTTAATGTCAAATTTCGTAATGCTGTACGTACCCATATGACACAACTAACCACAGAGAACATCGCTTTGATCATTCAAACTACAAAGGATGATTTTATCAATAAATTGTTCGTCATAACAGACGAAGACACCAAAGACAATGCGGTAAACCGATATGAATGTTTTGGAATTGTCATTCCGGATGATCTTTTACAGCAATACATTGCGAAGTGGTTTGATTATTTGACCAAAACGGCTGGTGTAGAGTTCACTTTACGTGATAATAGGCCATTTAGTAATGCTAAATTTCGTAGTGCTGCACGTACTCACATGAGAAAACTAACCGCAGAAAACATCGCTTCATTTATTCAGACTACAAATGAGGATTTTATCAATTTAATGTTTGTCATGAAAGGCGAGGACATCAAGGACAACGGTGAAAACCGATATGAATCTTTTGGTATTGTTATTCCTGATGATCTGTTACAGCAATACATTCAGAGGTGGTTTGATGATTTGACAAACACAGATTGGGTAGCGAGTGCCATAAAGAAAAATAGACCAATGTTAAGTGTTACATTTCGTAGCGCTGTATGTTCCTACATGAGACAACTAACCACAGCAAATATCTCTTCAATCATTCAGACTTCAAATGATGATTTCATTAATAAAATGTTTGTAATGACAGAAGAAGACATCAAAGATAACGCTGATAACCGATATCAATGTTTTGGTATTGTAATTCCTGATGATCTGGTAGAGCAATACATTCAGAGGTGGTTTTATGATTTGATAAAATTGCAATGTGTAGAGGCCCCTATAGGTAAAAATAGACCATTGATGAATGTAAAATTTCGTAGTGCTGTACGTTCCCTCATGAGGGAGTTAACCAAAGAAGACATATCTTCAATCATTCAGACTACAAATGAGGATTTTATCAATATAATATTTGTTATGACAGAGGATGACATCAAGGACAACGCAGAAAACCGTTATGAATGTTTTGGGATTGTTATTCCTGATGATCTCTTGCAGCAATACATTCAGAGGTGGTTTGAAGATTTAACCAATACGGATTCGGTAGAGGACGTGATAGATAAAAATAGACCATTGATGAATGCTAAATTTCGTAGGGCTATTCGTGCCCATATGAGACAACTAACCACAGAAAATATCGCTTCCATCATTCAGAGTACACATGAGGATTTTCTAAATTTAATGTTTGTCATGACAGAGGATGACATCAAAGACAACGCTGAGAATCGATATGAATGGTTTGGTATTATAATTCCCGATGATCTGTTACATCAATATATTCAAAGGTGGTTTGAAGCAACGAACGAAACAATTTTATTAAAAAATACCATAGAAGATGATACGTCTATTGTATATTATACTACAAGCAGTGGGGTGGAAATATTAATAAATAGAAGTAGACCATGGAAGAATGTTAAATTTCGTAATGCTCTTCGAGCCTACATGAGACAGCTGAACACAGAAGCAATAACTTCTCTAATTCAGCGTAGAGATGATAATTTTGTCAATAACATGTTTGTCATGACACAGGATGACATAAAAGAAAACGCTAAAAACCGATGTGAACAAGTTAGTATTGTTATTCCCGATGACCTACTACAAAAATACATTGGGAGTTGGTTTGAACGTTTGACTAAAACCAGTGAGTTCAACAGATTCATAGATCAAAATAGACCACTGAAAAATGAAACATTTCGTAAAGCCTTGTGTAACTACCTGAGACAACTAAACGCAGAAAACATCGCTTCAATAATAAGGAATGCAAAAGATAACTTTGTCAATCAGATGTTTGTTATGACAGAGGAGGACATCAGAGACAACGATAAGAACCAATATCAATGTTTTGGTATTGTGATTCCTGATGATCTGGTTCAGCAATACATTCAGAGGTGGTTTGATGATTTGACAAAATCGAAGTGTGTGGAGGCCACCATTAATAAAAATAGATCATTGAATTGTGTTAAATTTTGTAATGCTGTTCGTACACACATGAGACAGATAACTGCAGATGGCATCGCTCCAATCATTCAGACTACAACTGCAGATTTTGTCAATATAATGTTTGTTCTGGCAGCCGAGGACATCAAGGACATCAAGGACAACAATGAGAACCGATATGAAAGTTATGGTATTATCATTCCTGATGATCTGTTACAGCATTACATTCAGAGGTGGTTTGATGATTTAAGCAAAACGCATTCGGTAAAGGACACGATTGATAAAAACAGACCATTGGTAAATGTTACTTTTCGTAGTGCTTTACGTGCCCACATGAGACAAATAACCACAGAAAATATCGCTTTGATGATTCAGACTACAAATGAAAATTTCCTCAATTTAATGTTTGTCATGGCAGATGATGACATCAAAGAAAACGCTGAAAACGGACATGTATGTTTTGGCATTGTAATTCCAGATGACCTGTTACAGCAGTACATTGAGAAGTGGTTTAATAATTTAGCGAATACCAATTCTGTTAAGGAATTCATGGATAATTGTAGGCCTTTCAACAATGGACTATTCCGTACTGATTTGCGTACCTACATGAAACAACTAGACACAAAAGAAATCGCTTCACTCATTCAGACTGGAAGTAGTGATTTCCTTAACACGCTTTTTGTCATGACAGAGGATGACATGAAGGAAAACACTGAAAATCGATATGATTGTTTTGGTATAGTTGTTCCTGATGATATTTTACAGCAATACATCGAGAGATGGCTTCTTCATTTGTCTGGTAGACCGCAGACAAATAAGTTTATGGATCAAAACAGACTTTTGATGCATGTCACCTTTTGTACTGGATTGCAAACTTTCATAAGACACTTGAACACAGAACAAATTGCCTATTTCATTCAGACAGGAAGCACGGATTTCCTCAATTTAATGTTTGTCATGGCAGAGGATGACGTCAAAGAAAACGCTGACAACGGACATGTATGTTTTGGCATCGTAATTCCAGATGACCTGTTACAGCAGTACATTGAGAAGTGGTTTAATAATTTAGCGAATACCAAGTCTGTTAAGGAATTCATGGATAATTGTAGGCCTTTAAACAATGGACTATTTCGTACTGATTTGCGTACCTACATGAAACAACTAGACACAAAAGAAATCGCTTCACTCATTCAGACTGGAAGTAGTGATTTCCTTAACACGCTTTTTGTCATGACAGAGGATGACATGAAGGAAAACACTGAAAATCGATATGATTGTTTTGGTATAGTTGTTCCTGATGATATTTTACAGCAATACATCGAGAGATGGCTTCATCATTTGTCTGATAGACCGCAGACAAATAAGTTTATGGATCAGAACAGACTTTTGATGCATGTCACCTTTTGTACTGGATTGCAAACTTTTATAAGACACTTAAACACAGGACAAATCGCCTTTTTTCATTCAGACTGGAAGCAATGATTTTCTTAATAGAATATTTGTAATGACAGAGGATGATATTAAAAGCAACAGTGAGAATCGATATGAAAGTTTTGGTATCGTAATTCCCGATGATCTTTTTCTATTACAGCAATACATTAAGAGATGGTTTCATAGCGTGAAAGACGCCAATTCGGTAAAGGAATATATGGCTGTTAATCGGCCTCTGTTGAATGGTAAATTCCGGACTACATTGTGTACCTACATAAGACAACTAGACAATGAAGAAATCAGAACCCTTATTACGACTGGGACTAGTGACTTCCTAAATACAATGTTTGTTCTGACAGAGAAAGATGTAGTCAATGACAATGATAAGTATCAATTTGAATGTTTTGGTATTGTTATTCCTGATGATATGTTACAGGAATACAGTAGAAGATGGATTGATTGTATGACAAAGACAGATTCGGTGATGGAATTCATAGGTGTTAATAGGTCTTCTATGAACGATATATTGCAGACCGAATTAGAGGCTTATATGAACCAGATAAATTCAGAAAAATAGTCTCTGGATCAGAATATATGATTTAGTTGTTTTGATTTGTCTTAATAAGACGATGAATTAATTTCAACACGATAAAACTGACAGATTTAGGTATATTTATACTTTGTAAATAATGAACTATACAATTACATTCAGCAGCGAACTCAGTCTAAATAACATAATTGAAGCAACGAAAAAATCATAGATTTACTTGATGAACCGGAATAATAAAAAAAAATAAACCAAAATAACACTTTGTTGGTTTTTTATCATCAATTAAGTGCCAATCTTGTAAGCATCAGGCCATTTAGAAGAATTTCAAAACATGGCCTAAAACCCCACCGACCTAACCATCCTATTTCGAAGTTACCCTCATCCAGAGTTAGAAATGGTAAGTCTTTCGTTTCTTCGTGTCTGGTTATTCGAGAAATCTCTAGATAACTTTTGAAAAGAATGATAGGAAATTACGCCTTTAATTTTTAATTTCTAGTTCAATTCAACCAGATTAAATCTTGAATTAACAGAACAGGAAAAGGAAAGCATTTTATATTCGTGCACAATTATACCTTTTTACCACTGCCTGATTCTTAGACAGATTGGCAATTT